ATACGAGATCCGAGAACCTAACTGACGTGTTCTCTCGCATGTCGACCAAAACACGCCCACATCGCACCTGTGATATTAAGTCGATAGAAAGTCGTAGGTAGGTTCCAACGAAAGAAACTATCACGCACGAAGGCACTGCTGTCGAAAGCAGGAGGACGAGGACGGGAGAGACGGCACTTTGGTTTTTGTATCTCCATCTCAACATAGATACAGCACGACCAATGCGACTTCAAGCTTGGCCAGGCAAGTCTGATTGACTTACTCGATCTGATCGAAATCATCTACAACATCCTGCTGCATCTGCACTTCAGGCGCAGGTGGCTCCTCTAATGGACCCACAACTGCCTCGCCGACGACTGCCTCTTCGACCGCTGCCTTTCTCTGCCACACTCTCTCCCAGCGCTTACCCCAAAGCACGATAAGATCGCGTTCGGCAATGGCCCCGTTGAATCTCTCGATCATCCCGTCCTGGGAACCATTCGCAACGGCGGCGACAGCATCTTCGATAGCGGCAAAGAGGTCGCGCATAGCTTGTCGCTCGTTGGGGAGAGCCTCATCAATCTGCTGGCGGCTCTCATACGGCAAGGACAAGTTATTCCGTTCCCGTAAGACCTGGCGAACACGATTCGTGACCTTGAACATGGTAATGGATACCATCTCGTAGACTTGGCTGCTGGCGAGCGCTCGGCCACTATCCATGCGGTCTTGCAGCGCCCATTGAATGACGGACATGGGAGTCACGATGGTGTAGTTGAGAAGCTTATCGACGATATTGATCGCGGTGCCTGGATGGTCCGACCAGAACTGGACGACTGATTCAATGATCTGCCGTCTGGCGAGCTCGGAGCGCTGGCCGACGCTGAGAAGACGATCCTTGCAGCGGTCGATAGTACTGAGGACATGGGATAAGCTCTTGGATCCAATACTGAGGATTGATGTCATGTAGATGTCCGTGGACGGTGCCAGTGGGTCGGCATGTCCGAGAGCCGTGGCTTGTTCGTGGACGGAATCAAGGACTTTCTGAATCTCATCCTCGGGAGCCTTTTTCTTGAGAAGAGTAAGGACTTCGCGGCCTTCCTTCGCGTATGGAGTCTGGTCGTTAGCGAACTTGAAGTCGGGGATGTCCTTCTCTTTGCTGGCTGGGATCAACTTGTGGTAGGGCTCGGGCAGTGTAGCGCGAATACGCTTTGCGAACGACAGGCGTATCTCCTTGTCCAGCACACCTTTAATGAATGCCTTCTTTGGGTGAAGATCTGAGAGATCTACTTCCGGTATCCTGTTTGTTGCGATTAAGGTTAGCTTGGCTTCATACAATCGCATCGGCTTTCGAAACAGCCATGACCTCCACATCTGCACGACTTACCACTCTGACCACTTCCACCGAAATTCAAAATTGCTCAGATGATGTGCAAACCAGTCCATGAATCGGTATGACAGCTCCATGTCCATATGCTCAAGGTTGCGAAACAGGAAACGGATGGCGCGTCCCAGTGTGGGTGCTATAGCTCCAGGCGAAATTTTGCAGGATTCGGTGATTAAAGAGTGGTAGTAGACCACGCGGTGCTCCGAGGTAGGTAGCTGGAAGATCTGGGAGAAGATCGCATCGATTGCGACATCTTCGGGCTTCCATTTAGGTTTACCCTCAGGAAGGTCGCGCAATTTATCGAAAGTTGTTGAGCGCTTAACGAAAGTGTCTGGTGCCCAGAAGCAGTCGATCTCGTTGAGATACTTGGCCACAACATTGCGATTGAAGTCGAGGATGTTGATTGTGTCAGTGACGGCGTCGCGTAAGAGCGAGGATGCTACGTTGTTTGTCGATGGGACAGATTCAATTTCCTGGTCAGCGAAAAGCGAGAAGTACACCTCTGGAAGCAGAGGTTTGCTTCCTGCATTGATGGTGGAAGGTACGGTGAGCGGTGGAAAAGAGTGCTTTGTCGGCTCTTCGGTTTCTACGTCACCATTCGCGTCGCCGTTCGTTTCACCGTTCTCTGTCTTGACCGCTGTTGGCTTGTGATTTGGGTCGAAAACTCGTGGGATGCAGGCAAGCGTCCAGCCGTTGTTGGCCTCTTCGATCAGCTGATTTTGCAGCAGAGAGACGACACTTGGACACTGCATTGCCTTCTCCTCGCCTTCCGGCGCTGGATATGGATCGACAAGCGCCTCCAGAGTGTGCGACTGCGTGGCTATGATGCCAGTACTTTCGAGCAGCTGCGCAACCTTTTGCGGCAGGGATGCATCGGAGGATGCGACCATCAAGTACGGTATGGTGAGTAGAATGATCTTGACGAGCTCAATGCCTAAAGCATCGTCCTGCGATGCAGTCTGCAGATCAGCTGCGCGTTCGAAGAGCGTATCCAGGATCGGCATCACTCCATCTTCCTCGAAGAGAGGACCCAGGCAAGACAGAAATCTGAGCAGCAATTTCACGTCTCGCAGCTGTCCTGCCTCGAGTGCTGATTGCAACTGATTCCCAATCTTTAGAAGAACGTCCTGCGCGATGGCTGATTTCTCTGTGTTTGCATAGAGAACCACTGCCGCCACGAACGGAATCTTGAATGGCTGCTCGAGCACCATTTTCAGCGTGACAGTCGAAAACAGCTCCTGCACATACTCGTCGTCGTAGTTTTCGGCAGTAAGCTTGGCGAGGTTCGCTGCGACTTCGTGCGCCAGTCGGCCATGGTCTTCGGCGATCTCGAGCAGTCCTTTTCGGATGCGCGTGCCTGGCGGAGCTTCACGTTGATATCGCTGATTACGTCCCCCTTGGTCATAGTCGTCGTCCTCTGACAATGCGCGTTAGGATCAATAGCTGGTGCTTCAGGAGTTTTGTCTCACCTCGAAATCGCTTGCGTTTGTTGAAGCCTCGCCCTCCGCCATGTCCGCCGCCGCCGCCGGGGCCGCGATAGTCACGCCGATTGTCCACGTCTGCCATATCAATTGTATGTGAAGCGCAATGGATGAATGGCCTCTGCTGTGATGGAGTTTGTTCTAGACATTCACGTTGAGAGCTTGCTTCAGCGCAGAAGCTCGCGTCGCGCATTACCGCAGCCGCTGGAACGGGCCGCTCCGTGATGGTTGGCGACACATGAAAGTTATGACTTTGCTGCGCTTCTGCACTCGCAACGACACATAGGATCGCAAATATTTGCTACAAGAATAAGTCCATCGGACACTCAGACATCTGCCGCTTTCTCGGTCTCAATCAAAAGCGACGAGACCTCAACATGCCCGCCATCAGAACCGCCAAGAACAGGAAGCCGCCTCCAGGTATCAGATCACCACGTCCATGGCCTTAGCCGTCCAACTGCTGACCGCCTTCCAGATGGCTTCGAAGACATCGAAGACACCCTCCTCGAGTTCCAAAACAAGATGAAGGACGCCGAAAACGCCTCCCACGAAGGCAAGAAGAAGCACGAAATGCAGTGGCCAATTTTCCAGATCACGCATCAACGTACGTATAAACACCTTCACACAAGGGATCACCATGGACAGTTTCATCCTCACTTCAAAACATAACTACTTACACAAAAATGCCCGTTTCGTTTTCGTTCCGGGCCGTTAAGGTGAGGCTATCGTCCCAAATTTGACCTCACTCGAGCGGTGCAGCGGGCTTTGCCAGATCACACACTAATTTCTATTTTTTTTGTTTTACCTTCTCAACAGGCTCCAGATACATCTACGACCTCTACTACGAAAAAGAAGCCATCAGCAAGAAACTCTACGAATGGCTTTTGAAAAACAACTACGCCGATGCGAACCTCATCGCGAAGTGGAAGAAGCAAGGGTATGAAAAGGTAAGCAAAAAAAAAAATATTCAAAACCTCTGACTGCAGGAGGACGCGTGCTGACGAAATGATTTTTTTTTCTCTAGCTCTGCTGTCTCCGCTGCATCCAAACCAAAGAAACGAATTTCAACAGCACATGTATCTGTCGCGTACCTCGCGAACAGTTGAAAGAGGATCAAGAGATTCAGTGCGTGGGCTGTGGGTGTCGGGGTTGTGCGAGCAGTGATTGATCGATCAACACTGTTCAAGAACAACCATTGAAGTACGAAAGGCCTGGCGTTTGGGTGGAAGCAAGCAAGTAACAAGTACAAGTCCCGTGGTGCTTCATCTCAGATTTTCAGCGAAGAAAACCCGCCCGGTCCACTCACCGAAAAAAAAACCGGGATGAAGAGCGATCATGCAGAATGGCGCGCCCCATTCATTCTCTCCCTTGAGCAGATCAAAGAGGGGCGTACAATGTGGAACTTCAAATTAAGCGCCGTGCGTTAATCGCGAAAAGTCAAATTCTCCTCTCCTCTCCGTAGTTCTACTATATAGTGCATACAGGTAGCGAAGCTTTATCTCAACCTCATACTTGGCGCCGTGTATCACATTCGAAGTATTCAAGCAATCCTCGATCCGCAAAGGTACAGGATTGTCAAAATATACATTAAGAATTTAAAACCTTCCTTTACACTACTCCTACACTCAAGTCAATTCAACAACCTCTCTTCTCTATTCATTATTATCATCATCATCATCAAGACATAAAATTCAATCCCAAAGGACTACTCTTCGGCCTAAACGTCCCAAACCCACCACTAGTAGAAGCTTTATGTCTAGCTTTCTTACGTTTCCTCCCAGGACTACTCGGTCCACCTTTACGTTCACATTCAGGCGAAGCACTACCACCTCGATCCGAGAAATCTTCCCAATCATCCGTACCAGGCTGAGGAGGACTAGGAGGCTGAACATTGACTTCCGGTGCCTGTACATGTGCTCGTTCCTGAGATGAGCTAGGAGTGAGAATTCCTCCATCTTCTCTTTCTCTAGTCTGCTGTCGACTGAGATCGGAATCGCTGAGGAATTTCTCACGTTGGTGTTCAGGCGTAGTAGTGGTGGATTTCCAGATTTTGCGTCTGAAGAGAGAAACGGGACTTCTGCTGTCGGGACTTGTAGGGGAGTTGGGAGGACTTTGACTTTCCCAGCCGCCGCGTAGGGCGTCTCGGGATCTGTTCATCATGTGTTGCATGATTGGGACGTCGAGTACTCCGTTTCCTTGTCGGCCGAAGAGGACTAGCGCGAGGCAGAGTAGGAGTAGAGTACTTTGGACAATGCCCATGCGTTTCTGCCAGACTAGTTCGTCCGCGACCATGGTTAGTCGAGTGCTCATGGCGAGCATTTCTCGTTGGTATACCTCACGCTGATTCTCAAGCTCGATCACTGTACTCTGCCAAAGCTGGTCGTACGCTTGCCTGAAGCCGTGGAGCTCAACCATTACTGTTTCGTTGAGCGTAGCCAGAAATTTGGCAGTCTTACCGACTTGGCGTTTCTCAACTTTGCTGAAAGCGTCTCGAAGGATGCGTGATTGTTCCTCGATATATTGCAGTGATAGAGTGCTGTTGTTCTCAAGTTGTAGCAAGCGCTTTGTGACCGATTTGAAGAACGATTCTTGTGTCGAAGGCTGTGGTGGAGGCGGCGAGGCTGCAGTCGAAGCGACTCGGGTTGAATCAGTCGCGGCTACTGTTTGGTTGGTAGAATTGGTCGATGAGGCTGACGCTTCTGTGACATTTTGGGAGCCTATAGAGGTTGGTTTCGTTGTGTGATTGGTCAGGGTCCGTGAAAACGGACTGCCAATGAGCGTGGCATTGTTCGAGCCAGCAACGTTCGTAGAGGTTGCGCCTTTGCTGTGATCCGAGTTTACCGAGCTAGCTGGGCGATCGGCTGAGTTCATTGCGGCTTGCTCATCGGTGTGAGATGCCGCCGCAGGGGTAGAAGTCCCATCCTCTGATGTAGTCGGCGTGTCACAGGTCATCTGCTGGTTCGTGGGCTCATATACTCTGACTTGCATTGACATACTGCCATTGCGATAAACGGAGATGGTCGGAGTTGGGGATGCTGCACTGTCGCCTATGTTTGCCTGTTCTGAGGGCATCGTCCCCTGCTCCTGCGACGGGGGTGGCGAATCTTTGGGGGGTGGCTGTTCTCCGTCAATAGGCGGAATGGCTTGCACAGTAGCCTTCGAGGCCTCATCGGTCGATTCGATAGGCTCTTGCGCGATAGGAAGTGTCGCCGGGACTTCTGTTTCCAGAGCCTCAATCTCTGTTTCTTCGACCTCCCCTCGTGCGAGTTCTTCCTGGTGTCTGTAGTCTTCCATCATCGTGGTACCATGTACTCGAAGTAAAGACACTGGGCAGTAGTATTCGGTGCCATAATGAGTAAGCAGCTCAATACGCAGATACTTTGCCCATATCAGAGGATTTTCGACCAGGAAAGCCTGCAATTCTCGAGTGTTTCGAGCCTCAAACGTACCCAGCACCCTCCATTTCTCCTCCTTGACAGGATAGCGATCAGAGACGGAGGCTTTGAAGTGTCGAAAGTTTGAGCTGAAGAACTCATAATTAGCCAAGACAATAGTGTCGATCTGAATGTCGTTACAAAGCTCCACAATAAAGAACTTGTTCTTGACCGAGCAGATGTTGAGCATATAGCTATCCTTGTGCTCGATCAGAATGGAGGACGAGTGAGTGCACTCCTTGTTCGTTTTGAGAACGGTGGCCGCGCAATCAAAAGATGCATAGTTCGTTCTCTCTTTGCAAGTCTTGCCTGCATCCTTTGATCTCAGCGGTGGCAGACCGACGGACTGTGCGAGCTCATGATCTGCTTTAGCACTGGGCTGCTCTGGCGCAGGTTGAGGTCCACCGAAGCCCGAGAAATCCAGATCGATCTCATGTTCCTCTCCCATGCTCTCCAAAGCATTGTTGATGGGCCTTGGTCGGTGTGGCTCGGCTTGCTGCGCTCTCCCGACGTCCTCTGGTACTTGGCCAACCTTTGCCAGATTTTGCCGCTTCCACTCGTCGAAAGAGAGGAAATTGGCGTTGTCGAGTGGGGAGTCGTTGTCCTCATCAGACAGGGGGATGGGGGTAGCCTCGATACTACGGTGGTGCGAAGATGGCGCAGGAACGGCGTCAGTGCTGGGAGGAGCATTTTCCGTGGCATTGGCTATGGCGGTGAGAGGAGTTGAAAGACTTGGCTGCGCGGTAGCTGATTGCGTTCCCGCTTGGCTTGCTTGTGGCGCGGCAGGCGTAGCATCTCTGGTCATGGAAGGCGTGGCATTCGCATCCAGGCTGTGGCTGGCAACATGTGGCACTCGGTCTGTCCTGAGGCATTGCTGCGCCAGCGTGTGGGTAATGTAGTTCACCGTTCGGCTCGGACATGTGCCTGAAATGTCGGTGGTTCGCACGACGCTGATGTACGTGTTCGCAGATGTGCTGCTGACAGGTGCAGGCGTAGGGCGAGATGCCGAGCCCGGGTCTCCATTGTCGGGTGCTGGCTCGCTGCCGATCGCGCCGCGGAGGAGCGCGAGGAAAATGAAGGTGATGCGCAGCACATTATACATGTTGTTGGCGCATGGTCTGCGCGGTGGTCTCCATGTAGCCCACGGGAGATGTGCGAGCAGGAGAGAGAGGGCGTGGGCGTGATGACGGCGCCGCGCAGCAGGAGTGCTCACGCGACAGAGCTGTTCTTGCGGTGCTGTTGACAGCTGGAGTCTTCTTTCACGACCTCCTCGACCTCGAGGTTATTCAAGGTCGGCACTTGCAAACGCCGATCTAGTCTTAGTCAGCCCGCGAGACAAGGCTGAAACACCCTGGGAGGAGTTGTTCTCTGCATCACCCATCTCTTCACCACACGAATAATATCATGTTCTCTGCTAGAGTCTGGGGCCATAGCCCTCGCGTGCGGTCAGCGGACATGCTGAGGCGTACTTTTGCCTCGGTCGCCGACCTGCCTTCACAGTATGTTTGCAGAATCCCGTGCAGCCATTCTTTGTCTGACCACTTTAGTCCTCCAGTAGACGTTGTAGTCATCGGAGGTGGCCATGCAGGATGTGAGGCATCTGCAGCAGCGGCGCGGACTGGTGCACGAACGACCCTAGTAACGCCGTCATACGAAAACCTGGGAGTCTGCAGCTGCAACCCATCCTTTGGTGGCATTGGCAAAGGAACGATGATGCGGGAGATCGATGCGCTGGATGGAGTCGTTGGCCGAATCACGGACCAAGCTGGAGTACAATTCAGGGTATTGAATAGGAAGAAAGGCCCTGCAGTATGGGGTCCAAGAGCACAGATTGATCGAGCCTTATACAAGAAGCACATGCGGGAGGAAATGCTGAGCTATCCAGGTCTATCCGTGAAAGAGGGCAAGGTCGCAGACATCATTGTCGACAGATCTCCGGAAGCTGCAGCAGAAGGAAGGCACGGCAAGATAACTGGCGTGCGATTAGAGTCGGGAGAGGTTATTCACACCCCAAACGTGGTCATTACAACTGGAACCTTCTTGGGCGGAGAGATACATATTGGCTTGGACGTCTTTCCTTCCGGCCGCATGGGCGAGGCTGCGACCTTGGGCCTGTCAAAGTCTCTTCGAGACGCAGGCTTCAAGCTAGGCAGACTCAAGACAGGCACGCCGCCGAGACTGGATAAGAAGACAATCGATTTCGCGAAACTTGAGGTACAAACAGGCGACGAACCACCCACGCCCTTCTCATACCTCAATGAGCGAGTTGCAGTGGAAGAGCAGCTGAACTGCTGGAGCACGCATACCAATCCTGCCGCACACGAGATCATCAGAGCCAACCTGGACAAGAGCATCCACATTCGCGAGTCAGTCAAAGGTCCCCGATACTGTCCGTCACTCGAAAGCAAAATCCTGCGCTTCACTTCAAAGCAGCAACATCTCATCTGGCTGGAACCTGAAGGCTTCGACAACGACGTGATTTATCCCAACGGTGTCTCAATGACTGTCCCTGCGGAAGCCCAGGAGGCCATGCTAAAGCAAGTCGTTGGTCTTGAGAACGTCACAATGCTACAGCCTGGCTACGGAGTCGAATATGACTACGTCGATCCGCGGAGTCTTCGTTCTACGTTAGAGACCAAGGCTATAGGAGGTTTGTTCCTAGCAGGTCAGATCAACGGTACTACTGGATACGAAGAAGCGGCCGCGCAAGGCATTCTGGCCGGCATCAACGCCGGAAATGCAGCTGTCGGCCGTCCTGCATTCACCATGAGTCGAGCGGATGGCTACATCGGCGTTATGATTGACGACCTCGTGACAAAAGGCGTCAGCGAGCCGTATCGCATGTTCACGAGCAGAAGCGAATATCGTATGTCAGCACGAGCTGACAACGCAGACCTGCGTCTCACTGCCAAAGGCCACGAAGCTGGGGTAGTAGGCGACCGGCGATGGTCAGCATTCGCTGATGAGAAGGCACAAATGGATTGGCTCCGAGTTCTTCTTGATGCGAAAAAACTGAGCAGCCAGGCATGGGTTGAGAACGGATTTCCTGTACGGACCGACAGCACCAAAAGGAGCGCTTTCGATCTCTTGCGGCACCCGAATATTACAGTCGACTCTCTCATCGACCTTGTCCCAGACATTTCAAGATACTCGCCTCGTATCCGTAACAGAATTAAAATCGAAGGCGTCTATGCTCCATACATTTTGCAGCAAGAACAACAAGCTGCTGCTTTTGCTCGCGATGAGAGCCTACTGCTTCCGGCAGATCTCGACTATCAGGCCATTCATGGCTTGAGCTTTGAGGAAAAGAAAATCCTTGAAGACGTCAAACCTGAAAGTGTTGGCCAAGCACGTCGCGTGGAAGGCGTAACGCCTAATGGTGCTCTGACATTACTGGCTTACGTCAAGGGCGCCTGGAGAAGAGAGCAGAGAGGCAAGATCTTCAAAGAGACGCTTGAAAGTCAGACACCTGGAAACGAGATCGAAGCTTTAGCATAATGAAATAATGGAATGGATGAGTGCGTACGATGTGTAAAGCTTCCTGTGACAAGTCCGCCAAGCAATGATACTGCTTGACGCATCGCCCGGCGGTCGGCGCAGTGTACGCATCTCCGACTCGAGCGTGGTATTACGACGATCACCACGAACATGGTTGCAAGTCTCACGCCTGCAATCACGCGAAAGATGTTGGCAAGGATATAGCTTGCTTGCTTGCTTTTTTCAGCAACGAGAAAAGGCTTGAAGCTGTAAAAACTGTTCAATGGTATGCTTCCAGCTCCTCAGCATCGACTGTTCACACTTGGGGAGAGAGTACTGGTGAATGGAGCGCCATTTTTGTTCACGTCCCGCGCGGATTCAAAAGGCAGCCTTGCAAGCTCCCGAGTCTTCCCCAGCTTGTCCCGTTGTTTCTTGGCACAGCCTCGCGCGCTTCTCGGTAGCGGGGCTTTTCAGACTCGCCACTTTTGTCAAGTCAAGTCATCACTGCGACTTCAACATGGCGGAACAACCACCGCGTGGTCGTGTGGACCACAATATGTCGCCACCACGTTCCTCCTCCTCCTCCTCTATTCATCCGGATCAAGCACCGCCGCCGTTGCAAACTCGCCCTTCGTCGCGCGCCTCGAGTGGTATACAAGCGCCGCCGATGGCCGTACCAGTCATGCCTTACGGCTTGAATCCCTCGACTGGTCAGCAGGCTCAGCAGGTTCCTGCTGCTGCGAACATGATGGGTCAGTACTCATGATATACTCAAGGCTTCGTTATGCTGAGCTAACATCATCCAGGACCGCCGCCTCTGCAGCAACCAACGCGCAGTGTCCAGGCGAGTGGCACCAACCCATACAGCCCAGGCTCCTCAAGTGGTCAACACATTCAACCTGTACCTCCGACCCCAAGTATGATGGGTAAGTACTCATCGTCTCCTCTTCTGGGCCAGGTTGAACTGAACTAACATCACCCAGGACCGCCGCCTCTCCTCCACTCAGCTGGTGCTATGCCGGCAAATGGGCCCATGCCATATTCTTTTCTGGACCATCCAATGTCAAGAGGACCAGCGCCATTCATCGTTCCCCACGGCATGATGGTGGGTGCACCGAACGACATTTTGGCGTCTCCCGACATTTGGCCTTCTCTGGGCATGACTCCACCAGGAACGCCGCTTCGCAGACAGCCAGCTGGCGGGCAACCATATGGTGCGCGCTCGGTGTCGCCAGCGCAGGAACATCCAGGTAATACGAGCAGCTGGATGGGTTCTGGTCGAGGCTTCGGTGGCATAAGAATACCTGCAGCAATTCCGACGCACGTCGCAACTGCTCGGCGTGTTGCTGCAGCGCGTAGTGGCCGCGCCTCGCCTTCCAACGCGAACAATCGCCAGCGGAACCCACGACCATTTCCTACAGTCGTTACTGGTCCAGATCCGCCGAGCGGCAGCTCGTCGCAAGAGGATCGAAGAATTCCCAGCACTCTCCACAATGCGTCTCCACAGCGTCCTCAGAATTATTTGCAGCATCAATTTCGACCACCAGCGGCCGCTATTAACAGTCCGCATCCACAGAACGGCATCTCGTTCCAAGAGAATCAAATATTGCCCACAACTACCCAGAGTGCACCGCCGTCGGATCAATCATCTCCCCAAGCTCGTCAGAATCCTTTGCCGCAGCAGTTTCAACACCCAGTCACCGCGATGAACAATTCAGATCCACAGAACAGCATGTTGCCGCCAGAGAGTCGCGGACCTCCTACCGATACCCAGCATGCATCGCCAAATGATCATGCAAAATTCCTTGCCATGATCAACTCCTCGTCACAGTCAGATGGGCAGAATCCCCAAGGCGAACCATTCGCGTCGTCAAGTCTGCAACGAAGAGCAGACAATATCATTCCTGCATCGGAGCCGGCACGCAAGCGACCAAGACTGGACGGCGCCTTCAGCCCAGCAGAGCCAAGCAGCGGCAGCGACTTGCCAGCTAGGTGTGCCGATGAGACCAGCGGCGCCGGAGCTGCTGCTCCTCAAGGCCTTCCACCGCAGCGACCACGAGTAGACGGCGCTCTCAGCGCAGCAGAGCCAAGCAGCGGCAGCGACTTGCCAGCTGGGTCTGCCGGTGAGGTCAGCGGCGACGGAGCTGTTGTTTCTCAAGGTAATCCACCGCAGCAACCACGAGTAGACGGCGCTCTCAGCGCAGCAGAGCCAAGCAGCGGCAGCGACTTGCCAGCTAGGTGTGCCGATGAGACCAGCGGCGCCGGAGCTGCTGCTCCTCAAGGCCTTCCACCGCAGCGACCACGAGTAGACGGCGCTCTCAGCGCAGCAGAGCCAAGCAGCGGCAGCGACTTGCCAGCTGGGTGTGCCGATGAGACCACCAGCGACGGAGCTGCTGTTCCTCAAAGCCCTCCACCGCAGCCACCAAGCTTGCAAGATTTCTTGCGGAGGCGACAGGAGAACGCTCGCGCAGAAGGAAGGACACCAGCGGTCATTCGAGACGCGCCTCTCACGCAAAATATCCAGGAGCTATTGCCGCTAGATGGCACCTGCCCAGCCTGCGGCATCAACCTAGGCAGTTCCACCCACCCAGCCCAACTCGCCGCAAGAATCTCCCACCTCGAAAACTGCATCCAAAGAATCTACTCCGACCACCCTTCCGAAGCCCCTCCCCTCCCCCTCACCGATTTCTGGAGCGACGAACAAAAAGCCCGAAGTCTCTGCACCTCCGACATGGAAATCGACCTCGTGTCCAACCGAATCCTTCAACAAGAAGACTTCCGCGACGCCACAAACGTCTACCTCCACCCAGCCACCACCCACGCTTGGAAGACAGAAAAACTTCCCAAATTCCTGGAAGTTGAAGCGGAGATTTTGAAGATGGATCAGTATTTTCCGATGCGGGCGGAGACGAGGGAGGTGGCTTTTAAGAGGATGGAGGCGAAGGAGAAGGCGAGGAAGGCGAGGAAGGAGGTTTTGAAGAGGGCTTTGAAGGAGGGTGGGAAGGGGGGTGTTACGCTTGCGAAGGAGTCGATGGGGAATCGTGGAGAGTAGACGGTTTGGATCCTACAGGGGATTGGGTGATTTGGTGGCGTGATGGAGTCGAGAATTTGGATACTACAGGAGATTGGGTTGCGTGATGGAGGGTTGGATGCGAGAGATGGGTACATAAAAAGAGGGGTTCGGGCGCTGTGCTGTTTGTTCTTAATGTCTTTAGATGGAGTCAATGTTGAGTTCGCTTCTGCTATGCCTCTTACCGCTATGTTCTCCAATTTCCAACCGTATGTTCTCGTTCTATTGCGAAATCGAGAGCGAGGTTGTTATTTATCGGTGTGAGTTGGAAATACTTACTAATTTCAGACAGATCAGCGTAGACGTTTCCGCTACACGTCTTGTTATTGTGCCTTCCAATTTCCAAGCGCGTATTCTCATTCTATCGCGAAATCGAGAGCGCATCGGTGTGAGTTGGATCGATCTTTACAATCTTTCAATCGTTTCAGTAGAGGCGCTTCCGTTATACCTCGTACCGCTATGCCTTCTATTATCCAAGCATATACTACTCCTACTATATTAAGAATATTAGAGCGGCACTGCATTTGCTAGTATAGTAGATGAGTCCTTATGAACTTCGCAGTATTCTCGAGCGTGAGCCTCTTCTATGCCTCCTATAAACCAACTACGTATTCCCAAGCTATCTCAAAATTGAGAGCGGCGTTGCATTTGGTTCTCCTTGTGGCAGAGCAGCTCTCTTTCCAAGCGTCGATTACTGTACCTCCGCTATGCTTCTCACCTTCCAACCACGTATTCTCAGCGCATCGTCAAATCGGGAGCGGAATCCGTGTGGTTTGCAGTTGTTCTTATCCGTCAGGATAGCCTGCTTCCGAGCATTGATCTCCGCTGTGCCTTCCATTATCCAAGCAGATACTCCTGGCCTGTCGCAGGATCGAGAGCGGTGCTACGATTCATCGTTGTGATCGGAATGAATTCTCGCGATCTTGCCGCAGCCTGTTCTCGAGAAGTCTGCCTCCGCTGTGCCTCTGATCTGCCAAACATGTATACAGAACAGAGCAGCGCGGTAATTTTGGAATGCCTTTGCCTTTGCCTTTTACGTCCTCGTCACTCCTCTGTTATCCAATCCATACTCTGTCTTTTCAAAACTTTTTCGAGGCGTTTGACAAGGTACGTGTCAAGCGTGCTATTCGAAGCGTCTCCTTTCCAGCGTCGTATGAATTCGATTTACTCGTCATTCGGTGCATCGAATGGCGAAGAGAAGGCCCACTAGTGAACTTCAGCATCACCGGACCAAGCTCCTATCGTAACTCATCGGTTAGACTTCTCACTCAGAATTCCATCGTTGTCGCTCTGATCGTGAGCACCGAAAGCCCATGTGTGACCTTCAGCGTCATCGGACGAAGCTCTCCTCATGTGCATGCAGGAGAGAAGACCTCTCCCTCAGAAAGATGTAATGTCATTTCGAAGGTTTCCCACCGACTTCCTCATCTTTTCGCGAACGGGCTCTCAGAGGTATTGAGTTCCGAAAGCGGTGAGTTGTCGTAGACTCAAACGTATGTATGCACACCCGCATAAGTTAGGAGGCTTTTCTTACTCCTCATTCAGTGTATTGGACTGAGAGGAGCAGGCCGCATAGGGAGCTGTCTCTTGCCATGCCCTGCGTAGACGCCTTCCTCACCGTAGATACAAGCGAGGCTGCAGCTAGAGAGGCGCAGCTCGCTCCCCCCTGCCTTCCGCGAGAGTTTTCCAATGGAGACAGCTAGTAAACTACCGTCGCCTGCACCTCGTTGGACGAAGCTCTCTTGGTAATCGGCCAATGTATGCATGACTTCGCTGTTCAAGTTCTTGGTATCTTATCAATTATTTCAGAGGCGTTGGTGTGAGTACACTCCTATACTTACCAGCAAAATCGTCTCCTTCGGAATGCTCTATGTCAGTAAATGCAGAGCGACTGATGTACTCAACTTGTCTTCAAAGACCGACCAAAATCCGTCTATATTCTTGGTATAAAATGGGCTGTTGTAGAATGCATTCTCCGTCCGATGCACTGTTCATGAGTTGTGAGTAGGTAGAGCCAAACCGGAGCTTGTCAAAGCTTAGGCACGAGTCTTGGCAAATTACAATCAGGCTGAGGACTCGAGCTGCTGCGTGCGATTCTATAAATCAGTCAAAAGATTCTGTCTACCTACACCTACCCACACACAAAACCCCATCAATCAAACAACCAACCCAAGCAGAAAATCTCCTTCCAATCCAACCATACATCACCAAAAAAAGAAAAATGTCCACCACCACCATCAACAACCCCCCTCACGAAAACCCCTCCTCCTCCTCCCTACCTTCCTCCAAAACCCAACCCACAACGACAAATCCACTCAAATCCCCCTCTCCTCCTCGCAGCAAAACCTCCAAAAAACCCCAACCCACCACCACCACCACCACGACTCCAAAAATCAAAAAACCCCTCTCCTCCCGCAAGAAGCCGCCGAAAAAAAACCCCTCATCATCTTCTTCTTCTTCCACAGCCCTATTCCCCTATCTAAAATTAATCCGCGAATGGAACGAAAACCAGACGAAAAAGGGGAAAAAAATGAGATCATTACCCTCGTTGAATGAAAAGTTCGAAGACGAGTACCGCGCCGACAGTCCTTTGCAGAGGAAGAACTACGATGTCCTGCCGAGTTCGATTTATCAACTTACACCTAGTGTTGAGAAGGGAGAACCTGCGAGGGAGATAGATCGGTGGAGGTCGTGGGGAAATACGGAAGGGGAAGGGAAGGTGGGAGGGAAGGAGGAGGGTAGATGATAAGCACTGTTGGTATGAGCATGGGGGCGTTCGCATTTGGAGCCGATTTGTTTGTGCTAGCGTCGAACGGGATATACGACGGGATATGTGTGACAATATGGGACGATGGAAGATGGGAATGCGGGCAATGGCGACGGATGCGGTTTGGATTGGCTGGTTTTGACTGTCGAGAGTGCTAGGTGATCATCATAACATCAGCTGTTCCATGCAGTATTCCAATGAAGAGATACCTTCCTATCATGCTCTCTTTCTCCCTCGCTCCGGCATTACCATTAATTACTCTGCTCTCGCCCATGTACACGAGTTCCTCTGGTACGCATCAACTACATGCTCGATTGCTTGCGCCTCAAGCGAGGTGACTGTGGTGGTGCTAATGTCGCGGCGCGCAGCTGTCTCGTTGATTCCCGCGTCTGCGTCCGCTTCTGCAGGATCCAATTCGGCTGTCGTCATAATCTGTGTGGATTGCCACTGACATAGCGGCAGTGCGTCTGGCTTTGTCTTTGGTGGAGTCGACGGCCTCTAGCTCCTGCGGGAGTTCCTTGACCCAGAGGACCTGTTGAAGGTCAGCATGAGAGTGATTAGGAGCTTGGCTATGACACGCCGGTAGTCTTTGCACGCGGACGACTGGGTAGATTTTGCTTGCGGGAAGAGGGGTGGTATGAAATGTCGTCGACTGACATAGATATCCGGCGAGCAACACCTGCCAGTTGCTGGTCGTTTTCAGCTTCTCGCGAGGCCCGCTTAAGCGCCTCGTCACGCGCATTTTCGGTACTCCTTCGCACTTCCTCGTGGCTCGGAGGCAGTCGCTCATTCTGCAAGTCAACCTTGCGCGCATCCTCGAAGGACGTGATGGCCTGCTTGATGCCCTCGGCGCCAAGCATCAACGTTCCAGCTGGAAGCCTGCCGCCAGAGGCCGTCTTCAGCTCGGTCACACGCTCAGACTCCTCACGCAGCACCTGGAAGACACGGGACAGTCTGCCGATGGCGAGAATCTTGTTCTTGATGGCTCGTCGCTTGTACTCCGTGCTATCGGGGTCCATCGCATGAGGTCCTGTCAGTGGCGGTGATGATGGTCCAGACGATAGTGGAGTGTCCTCTTCCAATTCTTCCTTGCTACATGTGTTGAGGATGGCGATCAGCATATCGGTAATCTTCTCGCCCACGAATGGCAGTGACCATGTGAAGACGTCCATAAAGTTTGGCAGCCAGTATGGGTGAGGTGTGCAGTTGAACTGTCTGATGTTCATAACGTTATTCTCGTACTTCAGCACCGCCGCTTTGTTGTTATACACGTCGAGATAGTTTGGCGCAGAAAATATCGTCATGACCGAAGGGAAGCCAGTCGTGCGGGTCTTTCGGTACATTCGGTAACCAGCATCTTGTGCTTCATGTGCACGGATTATGCTGAGGAGGTTGTTCTTTTCCAGGAAGGCACACGCTGCTGGGTAGCTGAAGAAGTAAGAGCAGCCTCGCACGTGGTTGTGGATGAAGTACTCCTGTGTCTTCTCTTGTCCGAACTCCTCAAGTGGATCTGCCCAGAGGATATCGCACATCAAGCCGTGAGTGGGAGGTTCGCGGAATCGATCAAGTGCCTTGATGTCCTCGAGTGTGTGCAGTTCCGGACTGAGACCACCATGAATGCACAAGAATTGCTTGTTCATGACTGCGGCCAGTGGTAGCGAGCAGAATGATTCCATGCACGCCTCGTATACCTTCTCGCTGTACTTATGCTTGCACTCCAGCTTGAAGGTGAAGTAATCGGTCAAATGCCTGCATTCGTGGTTGCCGCGAAGAAGCCAGAGGGTGTTGGGGTACCACATCTTCAGGGCCCAGAGATAGAGCACGCACTCAATGGAAAAGTAACCACGATCCACGTAGTCGCCAAGAAACAAATATCTCGTCTCTGATGGGTCGCCACCGACCTCGAATAGCTTCATCAGGTCAAAGTACTGTCCGTGGATGTCTCCACACACTGTGATGGGCGCGTCCATTTCTAAAAGATTGGGTTCTGCGCGCAGTAGCTGTGTGCCTGAGTTGATGATCCATAGCGCCTGCTCTTCTGTGAGACGACCTTCTCGGTAGAGGTGCTGCTTGAGAAACTGTAGATTCGGCTTTGAGCGGTCATTCGGGGAGAGGATCTGATCTTCAGTCGGCACTGCGAAGGCTGGCGCTTGTACATCTGTGGAGAATATAGTCAGCTCTCAGCTCGAGTAGCAGTTTCCCAAGGACCAGCCTCGACACGGCCTGTACACATAGCGCCTTGCGATTATGTTTCTATCCTCGGCGTACCTTTGCAAACCCGCTCCTGCGTGCTCACTTGACTGCCGTCTTCCATAGTGTGCAGGGTGAAGTCGATCTCTGGCACCTGCTTCTTGTTTTGGACTGCGCGCAGCGCATTGTCAATGTACTGATCTTGGGCGGTCTGGCCGTCCATGCTGGGCGAATCCGGCGCTCTCTGCAGACTGTGTTTCTCGAAGGGGTGTCTTTCCGTTCGTCGCAGCTCAGGAGTCGGCGAATTGTATAATGGGCGCGTCGCTATTACTAAGTCGATTCGCGAGCGGAACTCTACCTTAGGTCGCAGAGTGGAGTGGCTCGAGTGTCTTGTCTTGGTTGTGGCGGCGGGGCTTGGACCGGTGAGCGGCGGCGTGGAGGGGATCGACCTTGTGCGTGTGTTGTCAGAGGCAGAAAGATTTCTCAGGCCAGTCAAAGTTGGACACGAAGATGTGCAGGAGAGAAGTCGGCCTTGCTGACCCGAATGGGAATTCCAAGAGAAGTGCGGAGGGCGATGAGGGAACAGCGCAGCGCCACAGGGCAGGCAGCACAGCACCGCCAGCCAGACCAGAATAAATCTTGGGCACGTGCGCTGTCCACAGAACCATCGCGGGGTCGATGCACCAACTTACAATGATGTACAGAATGTTCAGGTCTTGGAGCAAGCACGGCTTCGATGGCATCGAGGAGTCTCAGAAGACTGCCGTTTTCACCTGCTATGCAAATTTTCGACCTTTTCAACGGTAGACCAGGTGCTCACGAGCCCCGTCTCGGCCATATCAGCAAGAGGAGATCGGAATGAGCGACTCCCAAGCTACCGTTGAGGAAGCTCGTGTGGCCACTTCCTATCACCAGCTCCGGGATGCCGGGTCAAGGAAAGAGTAAAGGCCAATGTCACCTTCGGCACAGAAACGACAGCATACATGTACCCGTATGGACTCACAGTGATACATGGGCTAATGCTTAAGACGCCCCCCGGACCACTCTGCCAGGACTCACGCGGGAAAAGTCGCGGATTGCGGAGCATGTGTAAGGCAGGTATATCACTACTACTCTGTGTGGTCGCAGACCTTCTCCGACATTATTCGAACTGAGATCGAATTCGCGACTGGAAATATTTCCATGTCTAAAGCGGTTCTTGGGGCGGAGCACGTGAGCTAAGCGCCGAACCGCGCGTTTCGCCCATCTGAAACATGCTTGTATCCATTGCTTTGTCGATTTCAGCGAACCTCGTTCGGCTGCCCTTGCAGAATGCCTGCACTCATCAGCTGATCGGTGTAACATTCTGAACTTCTAGTGGAGAGCGTTTTGGAGACCCTGGGTATCACACCTCGGGCGCCTCGCCCAAGCCTGAGGCGGGCTTTGCAACATGTAGCAGCACGGAATGTATACAGGCGTTCGTACTGTGCCACGCAACGTAAGATTAAACATAGCTCAAAGAACACATATCACAGACGCAAGTCGTGCTCCTGTCTGGCATCTTCGCCGGCCCATTTTTCACTCACCTGTTTCGATCTCGTCACCATCACCATTTCTCGAACATCGTCCCGAAATCATCACTCGCGTGCAGGCATGCTTAGCTCCTTGGATGAACATCAATGCTTCCTGGAGGAGCAATACATCTTGCTCATACCGGAGACCGAGATCGAGCGGTCAGACGACAGCTGCATGGGCTTCAGACTACGTAGCAATCCGCGCAGGTGGCAACAATTCGAGAGCAATCGGGATCGAAGATGGAAATCAGTCTTCCAACGCTTGAGGAGGAGTCATCACCAGCTTGGCTCCTCATCGGTGCTGAGCAGACCGTGTTCCAGTCTTCGGCAGTCGCTACGCCTATCTTGATCTTGGTCAGTCAACGTAAGCCGTATATGACGCAAGCAAATGCCAACTGGCCGCAGAGTGAGCATAGCAGGTCGAAGGACATTCACCGGCACCCTATCCTTCTAGGAGTATCCTTTCAAACCCGAAGCATGTCAACACTGGCTCCGGTGTCAATGATCAAGACGATGGCAGACCATGTCGCGTTCTGCTCGCGTCGGAAGGCCAGAGGTGAAGTTGCAAGTCTATCACGAAACGAAGCCCATCGGCCAATACCCACTGGTCACTTGCGAAGAGGCGGGAAGGAGGGCGCGGGTGGATCGGTTTCAAAGGGCGGAGCTCCTGGCGGGCGCTTCATGCACAGCTGTTGATGGAAGCGAGGAAGCGCTTGCCTATAGGGCACGGCCAGGACAATATGTATGCAGGTATGCTTGAGCGGTAGAAGAACAATGGGAGGATGTTTCCACGTCTGAAGCACCATCATACCTCTGTATCGTGTGCTCTCTGCTGATTTGGGATGAGAGGCTGGAGAGATGTCATCGCCAAGAACTCTATCCCTGTTTCACCAGGGGCGGGTGGGCCCTAGCGCGAAGCATGTCGCTCGTGGAGGAAAAGGCAGTTCTGATGTTCGATTGGCTCCACCAACTTCACCTCTCACAGGGCGGCAGTGGCAGAATTGCCCGGAAGACCAATTGCTTTCCACAACAGCCGTGTGCCCCTTGCGATGCCGAACAAGACATCTTCCGAACGAAGCCCGCCTGTGAGACAGGAGCCGCACCGACCAAGGCGCGGCGATGGATCCCGCTGCCCCGTGGACATCCTTCTCCGTGCCTTGGCGGCGATGTGTGCTACCAGAGGGACGGACTTCACGTCGTCGGTTGCGACCATCAACGACTGGACCGCCGTCGCCCATTTCCAAACTCCTCTCAAACCACCCGCCCGTCGCAGCCGAGCAAGAACCAGGCGCGCCATCGCCCATGGCCTCCTTTGCATGAGATTTCCGGCAGTCCCCCCCAGAAGCGGCTTCTGCTATGCAGCCGCTGCATCTGCCCTGGCGCGTAGCGCAATCGTGCATACCCATGCTGCGTAGGGGATGTCGATCTCGCCAAGGGCGATTCTTAAGAGCGAGCAGAAAGTCGCTTGGTGGTACTTCTTCTTTCCCTTGTCCGTTTCCTCACAAACGACGCCATCGACTTGCCTGTACAGACCTGCCCATTCTCTACTGCCGTGCCAGGTGCATCGTGCATTCGTCATTCTTTTCCACGTCTCTGCGAGACCGAGACATCCCCTGAGCCAGACTCTCCTTCGCTGAACACTTTGACTGACCTTGTCCTTGACGGACGTGCGGGATCTCTTCGCGTATCGAGGTGAGCATGTACCGTCTCTCGAATGCACGACGCCGGCTTCTCCAGAGTCTCGCATCCCATCTGCCACATGTATCACCGCCCGAGCAGTCTAGAGAAAAGCATCGAAGCTGGAATTTCTGCAATGAACTCGACGTCTTCGGAATACTCTGGCTGACTACTGACGCTCCTTTAGTATACCGAGAAGTCTCGATCATCATAAGATCGACTAGCCGGTCTAGAGATCTTCCAGCATTCTAACGAGGCTCACGACTCGCATCCATTCCTTACGAAAGCTTACCACCATGTTCACGACAGCAGTCTTTACGGCAGCAGCCTGTGGCTTGCTCGCCTCGACTGCCAACGCACACATGGTCATCACATCGCCAGTACCCTACGGCGCAGACAGCCTCAACAACAGCCCCCTTGATGCTGACGGATCAGACTTCCCTTGCAAACAGCGCTCGGGTGTCTACGACATTACGAAGATGAACAACATTGCTGTTGGTGTCCCACAACAGCTTGCGTTTCAGGGCGGCGCCACTCACGGAGGAGGATCATGTCAGCTCTCAGTCACCATGGACAAACAGCCCACAAAAAGCAGCAAGTGGAAAGTCATCCACTCGATCTTGGGCGGATGTCCGAATGGAGCTTCTGGCAACGCAAATGGATCTCCTACTTACGACTCGAACCCCACATTCGAATGGACCATGCCAAAAGGTATGCCAAACGGTGAATACACTCTCGCTTGGACCTGGTTCAATAAGATCGGCAACCGAGAAATGTACATGAACTGCGCTCCCATCACAGTAACTGGCGGCGCGGACAATGACGACGTCCTCAACACACTTCCCGACATGTTCGAAGCGAATATTGGCAATGGCTGCACGACCGTCGAGAGCGAAGATCTCGTCTTCCCAGACCCTGGCAAATACGTCGAGACAGCAGGTTCAGCACTCGGCACATCTCTAAGTGGTACATGTCAGACAGCTGGCAGCGGAGGAGGTTCCGGTGCTTCCCCATCGGGCTATGCTTCTGGATCAGGCTCCGGCTCAACTCCTGCCTCATCTCCTGCTGCCGCGCCCACTGGCTACCATGGCGGTGGCGCAGCATCGAGCCCGGCCGCTGGATCTAGTCCAGCTGCAGCTCCCACAGGAGGCTATGGCAGTGGAAGCGGATCAGGCTCCGGTCGAGGAGGATCATACTCTAGCCCCGCAGCCGCGCCTTCCGTTACCGGCAGTCCGGGTGCCGACTCAGGCCCCGGAAATGGATCCAGCGGCGGCATAGTCACTGTAACAACCATGGCCACCGTTACCGGCAGTGGGCCAGCACCCTCAGCCTACAGCGGAGGATCTCCCCCTAGCGGCTCCAACCGTGGCTCCAGTGGCTCGGGCTCCTCCTCGAACGGCACGTCTGGATCATCGGCAGATTCCGTTGCCTGCACAACTCAAGACGAAATCATCTGCATGGGAGAAAACTTTTTCGGAGTTTGCGATCACGGCTTCGCTCGCAAGCAGGCTTGTTCGACAGGCACCCGCTGTTCCAACGGTAGCATCCAGAAGAGGTCTGGCTCTATGAGACATCTTCAGCATTTGAAAAGAAGGGGTGGTCATCATGCCGGTGTGCTCTAGCGGAGATTCCTCCAGAGTTTTCTTTGTGAGCTCCGAGGGCTTGGGGGTTGTTCAGTGACGTTTGCGGGTGCAAATATGGCGAACATGATGATTTGGATGAGAGATACGATCTGTGAATTTTTCGGGGAGGACAGGACGCATGCCAGGCAGGCTTTGGCGTACATGGGAGTAGGTAGGTAGCATATAGCAGACGGCGAACTTCGGTCTTTACAGCATCACATCTCGTTTCTCAGCTGACTCCAATGTCCCGTCCTGGTGGAAAAATCCCAAGGCCCTCTTCGGAATAAGACGACAGTCCATCTTCATCGGGAGCGAGCACGTATGGATCTCGCTCGATGCCGACGTGAGCCTTGCCATCGACACCCAAAAATGTGCCATAGCTCCAGGTCCAAGATTGCCTCAAATCTTTTGCGTCCTCTGCGTTCCGCCGGGATAAATCCACGAGTGCTCGGCTAGCGGCGAAGTAAGCGATATTCGAAGCGATCGTCGACGGTAGGCGAGGCAGCACTCTCCAAGGTCGTCGTGCGTAGAACCAGATCGTTGTAATCATGTATAAACCCAAGATCGTCTGCACGATTATGAACGCTGGCGTTGAGAATACGATGCGTGTCTCAGGAGTCAAGACTTGAGTCGAGATCGGTGCTACTTTTCCCGAGTTTGGCGTGAAGATGTTTTGGAAGTTCGTCGCGATGAAGATGGCGAAGAGCTGTTGGTATACTTTTGCAAAGTTACCCACGACTTGGGAAGGGGTTGGAATTGGCAGTGATGCGTTCAGACTTTCTTTGGCATTTGGAAATTGCTTCACCATCAGATAGTTGTTGTAGTCCGAGGGGAAGGAGTCGTTGTGCCAGGTAGCGCCGCTATCGATGAGGTAGCGATTGGCTTGTGCAAGAAGGCCGAGGACGGAGGGAACGGTCACGTCCCCAGGGGAGGTCATGCCCTCGGGAGTGGCCTCAAGCACGCGGCCACTGCTGTCTACCCTGATCTTGGCTTTTGAGGCGACCAGGGTGGGTCTGCAAAGCAGCATTGTAGCGTTCAGCGAGAGCAAATCCATCTTCGGCCACGCCGCCAAGCTCGATCCTGGCATTGTCTCGCCCGATTTCAGTCTCCAATCTGCACGAAGCCAGCCAGCTACAAGATTTTGCCGGCAGAACAGGTCATGCTCAGTCGTGGTGTTGCGGCTTGTCAGCATGCTGTTCAGCTCGAGGGCCATGTGACCTGGCTGAGGATCTCTGAGCGTGTTGAGATTGAATGTCGAAAATGCTCGACCCCAATTCCGATAATTGCTGCAATTGACGACTGCACCGGAATCATTGACGAGGGTGGTCTCAAGATCGAGCTCGGAAGCGTCATCGCTGTACTTCATATTGTACCTCGGAACTCCCTCCGTGGTTAGCACTTGACAGTTCAGCTGCGCACCAAACCCTGGGGTCGTGAGTCGAAAATTTGAACTCTGATTCAAGGCGGACAGACGGGCTGGGAGGTAAGCGCGCTCATCGTCAGCCCAAGCAGGCAAGGGCGTTTCTGCAGTAAGGTTGGACATCTTGCGATAGAATGGGTCGACAGTCATGCTGCCATCGGAATTATCGTCCAGAACTCCGTTCAGTGGTGTACCAGTGCCGTTGATAGAGCTGAGCAAGACTGAATCGTAGGATGTTTGCAGTTGACTCTCCGAAGCCACGATCATGGTACGCTCGTTCATAAGTCCGCTGAGCGCTACTGCGAGCACGTTTGCGAGCAGAGCCATCATGCATACAGTGCCCAAGACATAATGACGAGCCGAAAAGGCACGCACGAGGAGAAGCTGGGGCGGAAGGGAGCTGTAGTCGACCTCAATGGACCTGGAAGCTGGGACATTTGCTTTGCGGAGCTCTTCGAAAGGCTGCAGCAGCGAAAGCAGGCGATTCAATACTATCCAGAATGGTTCAATCAGAGTTGCAAGGGCGATCGGAATGTAGTTCTCCACCAGCTGTCTGACAAATGTTGACTCCGACGGCAGCTTCAGTCCTGAGCATCGTTAGCGATGATTCCCTTGATTCAAAGTGTACTCTTTACCTGAGCTGTTATGAGAAAGGATATACAGGACCACGAATGTTACGACGGCGGAAAGCTGGACAAAAAGAAACATTGAGCCAATGATGACTTTCATCTCCAAAGGCCGTATGCCAGCTTTGCACTGCTCCTTGTCTGTCCTTTGAGCGGTATCAGCAGAGTCTGCGTAGAGATTTGGAGGTGCACAATGGCGAATCTTGACCACCGGATGGTCAGCATCAGCGACAGGTAGCAGGGCGAACTCTTGATCTTTCATCTTGTCCCTCAAACCATCAGATGGCTCGCTGTCGACGGTGGCAAATGCGTCAGAGGTATTTTGATCTGCTGATACCAAGTCCATCAACGAGCCAAGCGTAGCGGGATCGCTCAGAAGCTGATTTGGACGCCTGGAAATGCCCAAGAGGACACCGAATGTCGTCATGGATATGAGCCCAAGTAATACCAACGCCGCATATGCAAACGCAGGTATAATAACGACTGCTTGAGTGATGAATTCTAGACGCCCTGGAGGTGCCGTGGCCTGGTCATGTCGATCCTGAAGTATGTCAACAAGTTGACGGGAGAACAAGAGGCGATAAGCGGATTCGTACGATCGGCGAAGGACATCGGGCGCGAGATAATCTTCAGCTGGCCTCGGTAAAGTGGCTATGGCGAAAGGAGCCATCTTTGGGATGTAATCCAGGTTCAAAGGCATGTCGAGGAGTCGGGACTTCTGGGATGGAAAGCTACTCGTTGGATATTCACCCCGGGTGGGTACTTGCTCCATGCCAGAAGCCATTGCCCACTCGAAAGAGCTAATATTAAACATGTCGCTTGGAAGCGGAATCTTCTCGCCAGCTGGGCTGGTACTGATCACCGCCTTTGAAGGCAGCGCTATGGTTGCGTGAACTTCCTGCTGATAATAGGTGGCTTCACAGAAGAGCGCGGTGTCGTTCGCGGCAAGACGCGGATCGACGCCGAACATGTTGTCCGCATCCTTAATACCTTCGATGGTGCTTTTCGACCACCGGACGAAGAACAAGTGAAAGAACTTGTCGTCTGGACATCCCGAAGACAAATAGTAGTCTGCGAACCCACCCTGATTCTGGTATCCAACATACAGAGTGTCGAAGGGTTTGCTGGTGTCAGTGCCACCTCCTGGCCTGTACCTCGGAGCATTGAAGTCGCAACCTTGTGTGCCATTATAGGTCATGTGGCCCGAGGTATTGAACAGCCTGGCTTCGGTACAGGCAACGTCAACACTGTACAACTTTGTAGACCCAGTGTAGCTTGCATTGGTCGCGTAGGAAACCAAATCCTCAGCAGGTTCGAAAGGGCTCAGGGCAAACTCTTTTGTCATAAATGGAGGCAAGGTCTCGTTCAGCCACGCAATGTTGTACACTGACTGCGCGTAAACCGAAGTCAAGTTTCCTTGTTGCGACAGCGGAATGTACGCGCTTGATCGGAGGCCCTCAATCGCGGTGTCCACGGTGATGGTCCGCACAGCGAATATGCCAGCTTGAGTTGGTGTCAGGCCCCAGAAAATCAACATCATCGTAATCGAGCCTGTGAGCACGTTCCAATGGCCGCGTTTGAAAGCAGAAAATGGAACCGTGATCAGGAACTCCAACGGATAGCTCAGCAATATGGAGTTGTCTGCCTTGGCGCCCCCATTCCTAGAGAGTTGGAAGAAAGGCTCTAGCCTTTTAATGTCCAGATCCAGCCAAGTCCAGAGGAAGCCATAGATTACTGAGATTATGGTCGGCAGGTACAGATATGCGAATGAGCGAGCTAGAGGCAACTGGCTGATGTCCGTGGCGAAGAGAAGTCCTTGGTGATGAGAGCTGATCAGCAGAAGTATAACAATTGTCGTGATCAGAATTGCTGTCAGAAGCAGTATGGCGACCAAGAAAGGCTTTCGCAGTGTAACCGGTGTCCATGGAGGAGTACTAGGCGGATCAGTCCGTTCTCCCACAGCCGAAGAGGTCTCAGCCTTGACATAGGGCTTCGCGTGGTCTGTGGGAAATGCTGCTGAGGGTGATGCCCTCAAGAAATGCATGAGGAGTCTGTCTGTGGAGAACATTTGCGACTGGTGAAAGCATCAGGAGAGCGAGAGCTCCTGCTTCTCATATCATACTTGCCATATGCGGCCATGAGGCACAGTACATGCCTAATGGACCATGCTCCTTGCTACGCGCTGGCAAGGCGCTAACATTAGTACAGAGCGCATACTTGACCTCCAGGCACTTGCAACGTTGGGATGGATTGATTGATGTTCTTGAGAGCAGTCAAGCTGTAGCATCAGCTTCAAGGCATCCGTAGAAGACAATCGTGAAGGCTATGCGATTCATTGTGATGATGTCGATACAAGCAAGATACGAACGATGAAAGTTGTGGAAGGAGAAGTGGTTGGTTGAAAGAGGCCGCGTTTCACGACGCGCTGGGTCCACATCCGAAGTCTTGGCAGGGCAGGGAAGCTTGACCTCTCCTGAGCGAGAAACACCTACACCAAGACGATGCAATGGAGGACGCTTTGCTGGAATGCGCCTATTCGAAAGCTATAGTATTGGGGAAGCCTATCACGATGTCGCACCGTGCCCACCGGAATCCGAACTCGTCTCGATTCAGCGGTGGATAAAAATGCGTTCCGGCCTCATGAAGCGCCAGCAGCACCGCGCCTCACCTCCACCCTGAACATAGCCAGAAAGACCATACCGTGCGAGCCACCATGATCAGCCCCTCTATCGCTGCTCAGCCAAGCCATGCTATGGTACTGCAGCAGTCTATGCTCGCGATCGCGCCACCTGCACCTGATACATCTGCTCCACAGCAACAAACAAGCAGGTGTTGGTAAGAAGGGCGCAGCGGGAGCTGGGTTTGCTTAGATGGGAAGAAGGGTATGGGTTTCCTTAGTTGTGTGTGAAATTCATGAACCTTGTTGACGATGTTGAGCGAGATCACGAGGCTGTTCTTTTGTCTTTCGGCCGCAAGCACGCAAGTCTCCTGACTAGCATCTTTGACACCGAGAAAGCCTTGAATCGTTCTTGCTTACATCGAAAGATTTCATGTCGCTTTTCTGTCTATGCTACAGATGCAACTCCAACCCGGAACGCCTCGCTAAAGATTTCCCAAAAGCATCTTGATCTCCAGACTCCAAAGCGCTAGATCTCTACATCCCGCTCAAGGACTGCGTTGACCAGACTTTGACGCCCACTGTCAAATACCTTATTGCCAATAACCTCGCCGAGCGCTTCAGTCAAGCGCTCTTTTAGTGCTTCGCCTTCTGGATGACCATTTGCTGCTGTGGTGATCGAGTCTTGCTCTAGCTTCTCGAGAGCTGTCATGATTGCAAGCACAACATACTCAGCCTGCTCCTTCTTCGCTTCGTCCTTGATGCCTTCGGAGAGGTGCATGTCGTATGCTTTGAGGTTTGGCAAGATGAGTGATCGCACGCCGTCTGCTCCAGCGATGAACGTGAGTCCCAGGACAGCTCCGTAATGCGTGCCGAAGGGTTTGTGTGAGTCGAGGAAGTGCTTCAGGCACGAGCGCGCGATGCGTGGTTTCAAGGTCGATGAGCTTGGCCCAAATTTTCTTGCGATCGTGGAAAGCAAGCTTGCTGAGTAGTCGCGGAGCGAGAAATGTGTGGTCGCGCCGTCGCTGTTAGCGGATCCCAAGTGCTTGCCCACTAAGCATGTAAGCACACACGGGATTACGGATGGCACGTATGGTGCAATGTAGAGACTTGGATTGTCCAAGAGACTTGCAAGCAACTGCATGCTTTGCGTGAGGATGAACAGCGACTTCATGTGATGCGTAACTTTGTCCGCCACGAATTGAATGAAGTATGGAACCAGCTGATGCAGGCCAGGGTCTGTCCGTAATGAAGCGAAGGCAGCGAGGCGATTATCCTCGTTGTTCTCGTCCATGATGGCGGTGCAAATGCGGTCAAAGTAAAGCTGCAGCTCCTTCGACAAGACGTGCTTGACCAGCGGCTTTACGGAGACATTGTCGTTCCCACTCATAGCCGCAAGAGTCGGGTTTGCGCCTTGGCCCTTGGCCGCCAGCTCTTGATTCCGTTGGTCGGCTTGAGTTGGATTCTGAGGTATGCTGGGCTGCACTCCTTCCACCGCCAACCAATGCGCGGTGAAGCTGATTTCTCGCGGCACCTTGGGCAGCGGCGCATTGATCAGCTTCTCAAAGTCCACCTCTTCATCTTCCACGTAAAATAATGGCTGGCCTTGTCCTATCGAGGCTTCGCCAAATCGCAGTGGTCTGGTAGAGTCATATCCGTAGAGTGGTTCGACATCTAGCACTCGCAGCGCTTGTGATATGTCTTGTGTCGTGAGCGTTGTTCGTTTCGCATGGCGCATGAATTTCAAGGCTTCTTCGAGGACTTGGGCGATTCGGTATTCGACGTCGCGCGCCAGATGTTCGGAGACCTCCTTGTTAAGAGATGCGATACCGACCGACTCGGCGACATCAGTCACATTTTCTGGGTTCCAGACGGACATTGTGCTCTGGATGCGCTTGCGCTTGCGCGCTCAATATCGAGGGCTGTGGTTGTCGCCAGGCGTTTGGTGTGTCGGTAAGTCTGAAGTGCTGGATCTGGACCAAAAGGCGGATAATGTGCCAGTGGCGTATTGCAGAGGCTGCTTCCGGTCGCAGCGCAGTCGCATGTGACGATCAGTACTCGCTGGAAGTGAAGTCAAGCTGGAAGACGTGCCGTGCCTGACACGCGACCAGCGATTGCCAAAAGTCGTGGCGGCTGCAGCCAGGCTGCCAGCGAACTTTCAGCGAACATCACGTCTCACACATTGCATGCAAGCACAACTCAAGATTTCGATCTCTGGAAGTCCTTACTCTGAACGGCTGCTTCCTCTAAGACTCGAGCGTTCTCAGCAACTCAGTGTACACGTAAGCCCCCAACGAGCCACATGCCTTCAACCTAGCTATTCTCTCGTAGCTTACGGCCCAACGTCAGCCTTTCCAGTTCTATCAAAATTGCACGTAGAGGGAGACAGTTGGCAACTCTACGCGTGTTTAAGTCTAAAGTGAAGGGTACCTTCAATGCCTACAGCACTCCAGCCAACTCCTTCGATGCCTTATGGTCGCCGAAGCAAGCAGCGAATCCAATCAAGATCGCTCTTACGGATGAAAAGTGGACGCTTCCACAGGTGTTCAGCTCTTGCTGCAGATTCGATCTATGGATCTTCGCAGACTGTACCCAAAAACTTTCAAGGAGCCCTCGTCGCGAAATTAGACAGCGAATCGCCTCGACTTTGCATGTCTGGGTAGAGAGTAGACTATGTTATACACCTTCGACTCTACTCTTTCATTAGCCTACGCGCCTGCGAGGCAATCAGTAAAGCCCCTCGAAGCCTTCTCATTATGGAAACAGGAAGCGAATCGCCTCAACATCGCAACTTATCGCGAAGTAAAGTTAGAAATTATATAAAGATCGCAAAGTAAGTAGATTTTCAAAGGTTTTTTCGAATCGCGTCCCTAATCGAAATCGCTAAAGTATAGAACTAACTCCTCTATACGGCTAGGTAACTCTAATACGGACTCTTGCTAAGAGGGCGTGAGAATAGATAGTAAGGGCTTCGAGATACCTATTTCGCGGAAGGATGCGTAGAAACAACGGGGTTACAGGTAGAAAAGAAGCAAACCTACACACATTCAACCCCATTCTTCGGTCCCTTCGTAGGACCTATAGAAGTACAGTCACGTCCTTCGAGGCTACTTCCGCGCCGAAGGAATAATAAAAAATGGCGGTTGCAGGTGGAAAAGAGACAGGTGCATATGCAATTCAACTCCATTCTTCGGTCCCTTCGTAGGACTGACAGAACTGCACTCACCCCCTCCCAGGCCTCTTCCGCGCCGAAGGAACAAGCAGAAATCGAAGTAATAGGTTGAAAAAGAAACAGTTTCACATGCATTCATCTCCATTCCTCGATCGCATTACAGTACCTACAAAACAACACTCACCCCCTTCAAGATACCCATTCAGCGGAAACAATCCCAAGTAAAGAAAAAAAAAGCAAAAAATTCACACCCACTCATCTCCACTCTTCGCTCCACCCAAGAATTACAATCCCCCCCCCCCCCCCCCCCAACCGAAAGCACCCCTAATTCTCCTTATCCGACTCATCGAAATCCACAACCGGCCTCTCCCTCGGCAGCCTCCTCGGATCCGCCTCCTCCAAAAAACTCTTCACCTCTGCGCCCTTATCTCCACTCTCCAGGACCCCGACAGCGGTGCAAAAAACGCAGTTTCCGACGTTCTTGCCGCAATTGGGCAGAGAATTGTGCTTCTCTACCAGTCGGAGGCCCTCTGCCACCTCGTCGTCCTCCTCCACACCTCCTCCGCTCCAGGCTTCTGCTGCCCATTGGAGTGAGTCGGTGGTTTGCCAGGTGAGGCGGCTTCTGAAGGTGTGGGTCTCGGTGGTGCGACTCAGAATCGTTTCGAGGGCGTCGTAGACTTGTCCGAGCAGAGTGGAGCGGCCGAGGATGATGGTGCTTTTGTAGGGGATGTGTGATCCTGCTGAGATTTGGACGACGATCTGGATTTTTTCGGGCGTGGTGAGGGCCTTGATGCGTCGCCAAGACATGATGGAGGAGAGGTGGTATGCTCTCTTCTTGCGGAATGATGCCATACTGAGGGACTGTTGGGGCTGTTTGCATGGCGAACCCGTCGATTCGCAGCCAATGTAGTCGGTTTTGGGGTTCCTTGGGCTGTATTGTGGCCCCCTCTTGATGTGCTCCTTGATATGGATTTCAATCATGGTGCTTGTCTCGCCTTGCTGAGTAGTCGTGGTGGTAAATCTAGATGAAAACGGGCGTAACCCTTTAGCAAACATGTCTCGGACAAGGAGCACAATCCTGCTGGCGGACTTACCTGGCATGGCAGGGTATAGCTGGGTGCAGCCTCAGCGCGGCGGTGTTGGGGTTGATAAGGTAGGCGACTCCGGACATGCGGTGGTCGGTATTTTCGCTTGGGTCAGTGTAATCTAGCAGCATCGAGCGGCGAATGTTGACAGAACCCTGAATGACCTCCTTCCATCTCCTGCAAACACGCTTGGCCACGAAAAGATCCTCCAAGCCATCAGCCCAGTTGGTATTACCTTTGAGAGAGTTTGCCGAAGCACTGAAGTCTACATCGAGACTGGTGGAGCCATTGTCGACGCTCTTTGTGGTCGTTGGACGCAGTTTTAGCAAGATGTTCTCAAGCAGCTCCGCGACAGCGAAGACTCTGGGAATGGCTGATTGCGCTGTGGTGGCCATTGTAGTGCTGTTCGGACGGAGTCGAGAAGGAGCTGGGAGTGGAGCTGGGAGTGGAGCTGGGAGTGGAGCTGGGAGTGGTGCCGACAGTGGTGCTGATCTTGGTGCTGATACGGGGTGCAGAGTGCAAAGAAAGTCAGATGAAAAGAATTTGAAATGAAAATTGTTTTGTGCGGCGACAAGCTCGGGCCATTTCATGCAGGGCAGATGAATTAGCAATCCGAACCCTTGCCTCTGATGCAAAACCGTTTGTATCGGTTAGAAAAGTTGCAAGAGCGCCGTGACGCGAGAAGTCGGCGGTCGGTGTCATCTTGAGAAGAAAGTGGATCAAAGATGGAAGAGCCGTTGAATCAGATCTCAACGGTCAAGATCCTGGAGACGGTTGCCGTGCAGGGCTCGACGTGCATCAACACGCATTCTGACAGCTACCTCCACAATCTCATACAGTGACCAACACAACAACTCAATTCAGCGCAGTATGGCCGGGCGCAAGACCTCGAGCGCCTTATCAACAGCTTCCCAGACCTCCGCGCGATCTCGACCATTGTTGGTAGCGAGATCCGGATTCTCAGCGCCCTGCACCACACTGCGCACCTGCAACTCGAGTCCTTGCCAGCGTTTCAAGTACTTTGAGTGCTTGACCTTTGGCTGAGCGGGCTTCTTGGTATCGAGCTTCTTGAGATGGGCCTTCTTGCTGCTGTGTTGTTGAGGAGCAAGATTGAGCCGAGTAAGATGTGGAGTGAAACCGCCTAGTGGCATTGCGTTCATCCCTGTGCGCAGACGGCCGCCATCTTCTACCGACAGTGCCTCCCGCGGCTCTGGCAGTGGCTCTGGCGTGGCAGCAATCATGGCTTGGCGTTCAGCACTCACACCTTCCATGAGGCCTGCGTCGAGGTTGGGGATCGGTATACCACACATCGGCTCCTGGTTGGAGAGCGGCTCGGGCTCTCCCGTGTCAACAGTGTCCGACGCGTTGAACAGCGTGAACGCGCCAGGTGTGTAGTTGTCGACGGATAGGTTGGCACAGCGCTGACGTGGATGACGATCCCAACACTGCAAGCACAAGGCCTCGCACTGTGACCATGCATGGCCAATAGCGTTGCAGTGCAGGCAGAGCAAATCTGCCACGACTGGTGACTTGGAGCTGCGGGAACGCTTGTTAAGCTGGTCGGAGGTGCCTGCTGCCGAGGAAGAGCGTTCATGCTTCAACATGGGCCTGTATGGAAGCGCAGGCGAGAACTGCCCACATGGAGCCGTCGGGTCTTGGAGGTCAGCAAGATGCAATTGGGAAGTGTGAGTGCGAGAAGAGAGCTTACCGAGCTGGCACTCCATTGTGCTATGGGCTTTCAACGCCAGCGATGGTGATATCGGCGTTGATGTTGTGGAGAGCGAAGAGGGTTGAAGCTGGAGTCGTGAAAGCTGATGGCTGCCCTCGAGTCTCGTGGAAGGTGGGTCCGTGCGCTGAACCCTGCATGAAACAAGGGTCCACGAAGAAAGAGGCAAGAGGCAAGTCATTGCAGGCAGGTGCGGTAGCTGACGATGCGAAAGGGCGAATCCGCCGTACAACTCGTGCGGCGGTCGGCATGTGGCAGACAGGCAGCGTCTCGTGTAGAGCGTGCATATTGATGCCGAACACTCCATTTTTCAGTTCCTGGTGATGAAGTCCGTCCTACACCGGCTCCGGCCGTTTCAAGGTGATATGCATCTTATGCATATTGGCCTTTTTTGGGAATCACTTCTCTGTGCCAATGAGGTCTCGCAGATCCATTGATCAATGATCATAGGAGCCTGCGACCCTGTGGCATTGTCGCGACTGAGCGACGTTAATGTAGCATTGTTTGCAAGAGGGTGGATGCCAGGTCAGGGCTGAAGTCGCCATTCTTGGTAGCCTGAGGCCGACACCAGTTCTATGATCATTGAGCGTAGTCGAGATTGAGCGTGGTGTGGTTGGTGTAGCTTTGGGCGCGGCGCAAGAGGTCGAAAGCAAAGTGAGGGCTGAAGTCGGCATTTCTTGCTGCCTGAGGCCGACGCGGCCAGATGCCGATGCTCGAGATCGCACATGAACAGCACCAGCTGGAAGCATCACGTCGCACCATCACCAAACAACCCCAATCGCTTCGATGATACATTTCAGCAGCTATACCTGTCTTTTCCGGCGATCATGGACGACCTACTCGGGGAAGACTGGCAGAAGCCTGCCAAGACAAATGCCAGTAGCAGCAACCCTCCATTGAGCCAGAACCCGTTCGCAGCCAACTTCAACAGCTTACGAGCAAGTCCTGCAATCCCGACATCTGGAACAGCATCGCCACAGAATCTTAGCCGTCCTTCGAGTACACTCAATGGATCCGCAAAAGCGGCGGGAGGTGATGCCTTCGGTAACCTCCTGTCCAACAAATCGCAAAAGGCCGCAGGAAGCAATGTGTCAATACAGGAGAGGCAGAGGCAGCTGATTGAAGAGAAGAGACGACAGCAAGAGCAACAAGCTTCGATGTGGGACACTCTTGGTAGCGGGAGAGGCACACCGGAAATACGTGGACCTTCGCCAGTAGCGTCGCAAGGGCCGCGAGAACAGGCAGAGGATGATATAATGGCAGCCTTCAATAAAGATGCGCCTGTCAGCAAAGCGAGCCATTTCCCTCCACCTCTGTCAACCCATGCTAGTGGTAGGAGCACTCCAGCATTTCAGCAAACATCAATTCCGACGAGCACAAACAACGATAGCTTCAACGACGACGACGATCCCTTTGGCCTCTCTGCCTTGCCCAACAGGTCCAATGGGCATGTACCCGTGTCTTCGACAAATGGCGATGATGACGATATACTTGGAGATCTCGGGAAGCCTGTGGCAGAAAGGCCAGCGAAGACGCAAGCAGTGAGACCTGCACCACAGCAAGAACAATCTCCCGTTGGCGCAGACGAACCCCAAGATCGAGCTTTGGCAGAATTGGTCGATATGGGCTTTCCAATCGACAATGCGAAGATCGCACTGGCAGAGTCTGGTGGCGACCCACAGGCTGCTGTAGGGTGCTTGCTACAGCAAGCTCACCAAGAGTCAAAGCGAAAAGCAAGGGACGAAGCGGATGAGCGACGACCAAGCCCGAGCAACGCGAGCAGAAGTCCACATCGTCGACCACAAGAGGTCGAAGCAGTGCCTGCATGGATGCGCCAGGAGCCCAGGCCTAGTTCAGCTGCCCGCAGGCAGGATAGCAGATCGCCTGCGGGAGGCGAGAAGGACGCCGCACAAATGGCACAGGAATATGGAACCAAGTTCCTCAAAGGTGCTTCATCGTTGTGGAAGGCAAGTCAGAAGCAGATGGCGAAGACAGTGGCAGAGTTCCAACAAGATCGCGATCCAGGCCAGCCAAAGTGGATGCAGGAAGCCGCCTCCGAATCTCGGCCGAGCAGTCAACAGAGACAGCGAGCACGCGACGTCAATGTGACCAACGAGGCAGCTCTGCTTGATGCACCACGCGAACGGCCACAAAAGCCATCACGACCATGCCTGACAGAACGGCAACCGCCGCAGACTGCAGAACCGCTGCCACACCGACCAGCGCAGCAGCCCAGATTCATGCAACCTAGTCAGTCAACACAGGATAAGCGACCCTCATCAAAGCTGAGCAGACAGGAAGTCGAAGATCAGTCTGCGCAAGCGTACGTTAGTCCCGCGCGCCGAAAGAAGCAGGCACCAAAGCCAGAGCCTCAGCCAGAGCCGGAGGTCGACCTGTTCAGTGCCGCGCCACCTACGACGACCCCAGCGACCTCAGCTCAGGCAAAGCCCAACGTTCTCCCGACCCCATCATCGATGCCCGTGAGGCCGAAGGCGCCCCCACGAACGATTCCTAGCGTTTCTCCAGCTGCACTCTCTACTTCCGCAAATCACCGCAAGGCTGGCGGCGAAGCTTTCAAGCGTGGAGACTATGCTTCGGCGCATGAAGCTTACGGTGCTGCTCTCAGCCCTCTGCCGGCAACTCATCCAATCACGATCATAGTTCTCAGCAATCGCTCTCTGACGGCGTTGAAGACTGGGGATGCCAAAATGGCCGTTTCTGATGCAGATCGAGCTTTAGAACTGATTGGCGCAAGCCAAGGTGTCGGCGAAACCATTGATCTTGGTGGTGGTGAGGGGACTAAGGATATGCGCGATTTCTACGGCAAAGCGCTCATGCGGAAAGCTGAAGCTCTGGAGCACATGGAGAAGTGGACGGATGCTGCAGGAGTATGGAAGATTGCGATCGCGTCAGGTGTAGGAGGTGCCGTCAGTTTGCGTGGTCGTGATCGTTGCGAAAAGGCTGCTGCGCCTAAACCAGCCGCGAAACCCGCGACACCGAGACCTGCACCAGCTGCTGCTTCGAGAGCTCCCCCAGCAAAGAATCTCGGCAACAGCCTGCAGCGACCTGCTTTGTCGACTGTCAAGTCTGCAGAAGCAGTGAAGAAACTTCGTGCTGCTAATGCTGCAGCAGAGAAGGCTGATGACGAGAAATTCGCGCTCTCGGATCAAGTGGAAGCGAAGCTGGTTGCATGGAAAGGAGGTAAATCCGATAATCTGCGTGCTCTGCTGCAAAGTCTGGACGCGGTGCTTTGGGAATCCGCTGGTTGGAAAAAGGTTGGGATGAGCGATTTGGTTCTGCCGAACAAGGTGAAGATTATTTATATGAAAGCTATCGCGAAGGTGCATCCCGACAAAGTAAGTGATGAGATCAGTAGGAGGTTGTGCAGCGATGAATTGTACTGACAACGATACAGATAGCACAAGACGCTACGACCGAACAGCGAATGATTAGTGCAGCGGTCTTCAGCACGCTGAATGAGGCGTGGGATAAATTTAAGAAAGATAACAATCTATGATTGTAAGAAGATGATAATAAAAATTGAATCTAAAGACTCTCGCGCCTCACCCTCTTCTCTCCACGGCTACATAATGGGCACTGCTCACGCGACATCCAAACAGTCGGAACGGAACACATGACGGCGACTGTGCAATGCTATACCTTAGCTACTGAATGCTCCCGCTCACCCACAAGCAAATCCCGATGAACTCAATCCATCGAAATCACAACTGGTGCGCCAAAGACTTTCCCTTTACGTAGAACAGGTCTTGAAGTCAAGGCCAAGCCTTTGCATCACGCGAGTTAGAAGCGTCCCGCGGAGCATGCCACACAGCAGGATTCATCAATAGCCTGACTACGAGCGACGGTCTGCTGGCGTCAATAATATTTACCTCATTATATTGGCTTTGGAGCTCAAGGTAGTCCTTACAGCCATGAGCATCAATGCCAAGCCCATTCTACCACCACATCTTGTACCTTAGATGATCAGCGTTCTCTACGTCGATCCATATGGCAGAGTTACATGTACGGAAATGAAAGGAGTTGCCTCTCGCCTTCACTTCTTCTACAAACGTAGGGCATTACTCCCAATCAAACACGCACTCTTGTAGTGCCGAGAATGATTCCTTGTCACGTTTCTGAGTCTATGCTATTTTGTCAGGGCTAGCGACTGTAGCCCTCGACATTTCAGGACAATCGCTATGAACGCTTCTCTTCCGCGACTGCCTTTGGCCGCTCGACTACCTCTCCCTGGTTGGGGAGTTGCGGCTTACCTCCCCCCTTCTTCTGCTCTGCTGTACCTTTTGCCTTGAGCGATGTAGAATCCTTCGGCAGCTCCTTCACATAAGGCAAGAACTCCTCCTGATCTGGCATGTATCTACGAAGTACCTCCGGAACCTCCATGCCATCCTCACGCTGGTAGTTTTCCATCACACAGCACAGCGCACGCTGCACAGCACAAAGAGTCGAGTTGAGTGCGTGCACGTAATCCTTCTTGTATGACGGATCGGTCTGCTTCTTCTGACCATACCGAATCTCGAGTTCGCGGGTCTGGTAGTCTGTGCAGTTGGAGCAGGAGACGAGCTCTTTGTATTCGCCCTGGAATGGGAACCATGCTTCAAGGTCGTACTTCTTGCTAGCAGCGTTGTTGAGAGCACCGGAGACGATGGCTACAACTTGGTATGGGATTTTGAGGGTCTTGTAGAACTCTTCCGAAAAGCCAATCATCTCGTCGAAATGCTTCCAGCTGTCCTCGGGCTTGCAGAAGACAAATTGCTCAACCTTCTCGAACTGATGGACACGGAAGATACCCCAGGCGTCCTTGCCATGCGAGCCTGCCTCTTTTCGGAAGCAGGTGGACAGACCGCCGTATCTGATGGGGAGTTCGCTGTTGTTCAGCCACTCATCAGCATGCATGGCAGAGATGGGCTGCTCAGAGGTGGCAATGAGGTACTTGTCGGAGGTGGGGTCATTCTCTTTCTCGGTAACCTTGTAAAGCTCCTCGTCAAATTGCTCTAGCTGGGCAGTCTTGGCCATCTGATCTCGAAGCATGAAGTATGGTGGTTGGCATGCGGTGTAGCCTTTCTTGCGGAGGAAGTCCATGGCATACGTCTCTAGTGCTCGCTTCAGGTAGTATCCATTGCCGGTAAGGAAGTTGCCTCTGTGACCGACAATCTTGACACCTCGATCCCAGTCGGCACCGTCTAAGCGCGTGAGGACTTCATGATGCGACAAACAGTCCTTCTTCTCCACCGTCACGCCCTCTGGAGCCCATGTGCGTATTGTAGCATTGTTGTCTTCGTTGTCTGAGACAGGCACTGTTTCGTGGACATAATTGCCTATGCTCTTGACCTTTTTCTGAAGCTGAGCATAGATCTCCTCAGCTTGCTTCTTCATTGCCTCCTGTTCCCTAGCCAAATCGTCCTTCTGCTGCTTCAATTGCTCAAACTCTTTCGGATCGCCCTTGCTCTTCTTATTTTGGCCCATTGCCTTCTGCACAGCGTTGATCTTGGCGCCCATTTCGGTCCTTGCTGCATAATCCGTCTTTCTGTGCTCCTCAAACATGGCAATCACCTCGTCCACAACCTCTTCTGGAGCATGGCGGCGACGTTGCGACTCCTTGATCTTGGTTGGGTCGCCATTGCGCTCCTTGATGAAGTCGTTCACGTCCAGCATTTTGTAGAGGTATGTCACTTCTTTGATGCTGTGTGAAGGGTGGGCGATTATATGAGCAACAAGGAGAGTGACTGGTGTTCTTAGGACTCATAAACGCGCCAGCCAAATAATTTGGGGAGGAGCGAGGGGCACATGGCAGGGGTCTAAACTCTAAATGCGCTCTGCCAAGCTTTCACGCGACACCAACACAATGCTCCCGGTCTGGCTTTGGACGATAGCACAAGTATAGGCTCATGGGAATTAGTATGGGAGTTCAGAATCTACATAGTGATGCCAGAAGCGAGTCTCCTCGCGATCGTCTGATCGATTCCACCTCTGCAAGTACGTTCCTGACACCAGTGCGACATCTGCCTACTCGTCCAGCTTTGGTGAAGGCTGTAATGCTGCCCTGCCTCATGGCAGTTGCCACAAGGTCTTCTCCAAGCCATAGGCTTCTAAAAACAAGTCCTAATTTTGGCGAGTCCAGTTGAGGTGAAGCCATGATAACGCCGAGAGCGCATTTCCCCCTACTGATCACGCTCAGGTAGCTTCAAGATTTCACCAGCGACGTGATCGTCTGTCTCCTAGAGGCTTTACCATCTTGAGAGCTCTGATTATGTCCTCAAGATACGGAGCCACTCACTGCCTTCACGAGAAGAGGTTGCGAACATCGCAGGTCACGACGCCTCTTTTAACATCCACCTCTTCAGCCAAATGAAGATCTTATGCTCAAGAGTTTGAAGTAGTAATCAGCGCTCAACCTGATGAGGGAGCAGTGGTCGAAGCTTCTGTAGCAATGCTTGAACCTTCCAGGACAGTCAAAGCACCTCCAACAATTCGAAAGGTTCCAGTGACGAGAATGTGTGCCGGACGCTCAAGCTGTCTCTCGCAGATCTCCCGGGCGAGCTCCACGGCCTCTTCTATGGAACGAACGACGTGAGCGGACGATTGTGGATCTGCTTCTTTCCAACATTGTGAGTAATCACGCTGCATTGATAACGTTTTCACTGCCATGGGGTCTGAATTGCTGTCCACGAAGTCTGTTGCACCATAATGTCAGCGAGGCCTGAATGAGAAAGCGATCAGGACTTACCAGGCTTGTACTGATTGTTCTTGTACGTCACGTTGGAGCAGAAAATCGCCGTTTCTGGTTGTATGGCCCACTCCTGCCGGAGTCTCTGTTGCACAGTGTCGATGAGCTGTCTTGCATTACGTGTCTCTGCTTGCTGGTTGAAGATGAGGATCGGTAACGGGTCTTCGCCGCGTTCTTTTCTTGCTCTTTGAATGGTTTTGCCGAACCAGTCGCATACAATCTTCAGGCTTTCCGTGGTGTGCGCTCCGTCTAGGTACCATGTACCATAATCGCGCCTCACAATCTCGCCTCTACCACGCCATAGCGAAGTCGTCAGTCCACATTTGAAGGGATCGGGCAAGTTTTCATCTAAAGATACAGTGCCTAGCTGATTTGGCCCACTTCTTGATGTCACGTCTGGACGGTGTGCACCAAGTGGCAGGTCAAACCTATCGAGAACACGAGATGCAAGGACAACCGCGAGAGCTGCGTTCCTCTTTTGGTAGTCTTCATCTGGAACTATCGGCACCTCTCTCAGACATTTGGCAATCGGGACCTCTCTCAGTACGACTTGCTTCTCCTCTGCTCTTTTCTGCAGAACCTTCATAGCGCCCTCTGGCTGGGCTACGGTATATGCTGGACTGCCGTGTTTCATTATGCCAGCTTTGTGCCATGCTATCTCTTCCACGGTATTACCGAGCACTTGTACATGATCGATGCCTAGCGATGTAATGCCCACGGCGGCTGGCTTGGACAGTACGTTCGTGGAATCGAATTCACCACCAATACCGACCTCGTAGATCGCAACATCCACCTCTTCTTTGACAAAAGCGTGTAAAGACAGGAGAGTCAAATATCGAAAGTACGTAGGCTTGGGTCTTGGATCTGCTCCTCTTCGACGTGCACCATGTTCCAGGCGGTCCCACAGCTCGAAGAAGTACTGCGTGAACTTCTGTTCGGTGATCGGTTTGGAATTGATACGAATGCGCTCGCACACGCTGAGAAGGTGAGGCGATGTATACAAGCCGATTTGCTTGGGGCAGCCATATCGTTCGCGATATTGGTTTAGGATGGAGTTCACGAATGCGCAAGTTGTTCCTTTGCCCTTGGTCCCGGCGACGTGTACGGCATTGAGAGCATCAAAGTCTGAAGGCTGAATCGTTGGTCAATGTTTCCTGTATGAATGGGCCTACCACCAATCTACCTTGTAGCCAGCATCTTCGACGCACTGGAACATCTCATGCAGCGAGTCATTTTTGGTCAGATCCTTGGGCGGGTTCTTGCGACGCTCTTCCAAGACCTTGTGGTTGTTCTGAAGTGAGTTGAGGTACTTGAGCGCATCCTGTGCTGCCATTAGTCACCTGCGTCCGAGATGCTGTCTTCCATATTCGCACATGGTATGTTGGCGAGGCTGGTCTCGGGCCAAGCCCAGAATCTACCAACGTAGTGAAATGAGCGATGCTACCCGTGCGAAATTCTCCTGTGTTGCAAGATCGAATGCCTCGAAGTGCATTGCTGGCACGCAACATAGCAGTGGCCTGTGTTGAGATGGAGCAGAGGTCAAGATCGTTCACGGCGAGACCGCATTGGGGAGCTGTGGCAACGAGCGGGTGTGGCGCAGGAGTTTAGGCTGAGTCGTGGAGTCACATCGCTATCCTACTTTCGTATTACTTTCTATATACACCGCTATAGTAGCAGTAGTAGTAGGTCTTATAATATAGCAGTTTACTATAGCGAACCCTACTAGGCTTAGCTATAGTCGCAACTTCCTTGCTACTGCCGAGGTAGGCAAGGAGATTAAGCACTACTAAGAAGATACGAGCAGCATATCTTGCTTAGGCGCTCGCCCTAACTACTCCGAAGAGGACCCTATAAATTAATCTCTAGCTACAACTCGACAAGCTAGCAGACAGCTACTATCTAGCATAACCGATAGTTAAACCCTCTAACTAGCTATCGGAAAGAGTAGCACTAGGAAATACACTACCCTATATACGCCGTATAAGGGGTTTAGCTTAACCCTAATGTTTAACGGAGCGAATGGTAGTGTCTCTAGGGATATATAGACAGAAGCAAGAATTATATAGTAGTTCTATATAGTTTATACGTAAGTTAGAACATAGTAGGAATAGTAGATAGTCATAAATAATAAGTGTAATAGTAGTATTCGCGCGATCGACAAAAAAATTCGATGCTATGCAAAATGCCTTTAGTGGTATGGGTAGTAGTCCAATCCATAATGATCCGATCCTCTCCGGTGCTTTGTCCTGTGGTGGTGTTAACGGGCTCCAGCCTTTCATGATGCTATCCCCAACCCAAGCCGCTACTACGCTACGCTACGCTTTACACTCCATCATACAAAAAAAGGCCCCATATGTACACATACAAACAACAGTGTCGAGGTGGGGGGCGATGCGATGCACCAAATCGCATCACACACAAATGCAGGTACAAGAGGGATCATCATCGAGCGAAGACTTTGACGACGCCGTCGCCACCAGCGGAAACGACGAGTCGACCATCCTGGCTCCAGCAAACGTCGCAGACGCCTTCGCCGCGCATGGCTCGGTGGGAGACGATGTCTTGCGTACAGATGCGCTTTTCCAAGCTCCAGAATCGTATGCTTGCATCGTGGCCAGCAGAGACAGCTTCGCGGCCGTCTTTGGATAAGGATAATGCAGAGATAGCGGAAGGGTGGGCGAGCATGCCGTAAGTGCATTGGCCTGTGAGCACGTCAGTGTCATACTCGCAATTATGGTCTGGTCAACTTTGCTTACCGCTATTGGCATCGAAGAACCGAACAAAACGGTCTTCGTGCCCTGTGATGACTACGCCTTCGACGCCTTCTCTGCCGCCAGTTGCGCCTCCACCGACATCGTCTGGATCATGGCCTCGCGCTGAGTCGCCTGGGCTGGCGCCTTCTAAGCCGGAGCTCGTGGCGACGACAGTGTTGATACTCGTGTTCATCGTGCCGTCGTATGTCTCGTTGCTCGCCATGCCGATGATCTCCTCGCCTGTTCTGGTGTCGAAGACGAGCACTGAAGAATCGGTGTAGCTGACCACGAAAGTCTCTCCCGACGGTGAAAGCGGACATATACTCGTCGGGCTCACCTTCTGGTCTCCAGGCCTCTCGATCGAGTGGACCAAGGTGTAGTTGAAAGGCGTGTTGCTGGCAACGCTGGGTTGCGGGCTGGTAGGGTAGTTGCTTCCGCTCGTGACGCTGTGTCGTCGCGTTCCACCAACTCCTCTCCGGCTCCCTGTGGACGGCGATGACGATTGTGGTGGTGCGCTGACAGCCCAGACCTTCACAGTGCCATCTGCCGAGCCCGAGACCAACAATAGCCGATCAGGTCCACCAAAGTTGCTGCTTTGAGGTCCAAAGACCACACCAACAGATGCCGGGAGCACACAGACCGCCCATACAGCATCGGTATGACCTTCCAGTGTTGCTTTTGGATCCACGCGTCCTCGCTCCCAACAGCGGATTGTAGTGTCTTGGCCACCGGAGAAGATCCAGCCGTCTCCTGAAGCTTGGCCGCCAGTGCTGAAACCTGTGCTGGCCGGTGGTGCTGTCAATGAAGTGACAATGCCTTCGTGTCCTCTATGTGTGAATCTTGCTGTGATGTCCAAATCAGGTTGATTGTTCCCGGGGTTGTAATTCTGATATGTTGCCGGAATGATCCAGCGCTTGATTGTGCCATCATCGCCAGCTGTGCAAACTTCGGGCTCGCTTGGGCTACCACCGCCGCTGAAGATGACAGTACGAACGACGTCGAGATGGCCTCGCAATGCGAAGCGGACTTTGAATTGAGAAGGATCTTGGTTTGATAGTGCTTCGGCACCTTCATGGGTATCATTCTTGCCTTGAGAGCTTCGCCGTCTCGACATGTTCTGTGAGCCAGAGCTTTTCCGTCTGCTGTGTGGTCCCAATCTGGGTGGCGATTTCGCAGGTAGCGATGCAGGATTGGCAGCGCTCGGAAATAGATCGGTATCAGGTCTTCGAGGAGGGTCGGTAGGCTGAAGATCAGGGTTCAAGGGAGTTTCTTCATCAAAAGTCCATCCATCTGCTTCAGCCTGCTCCTTCATGCCTTTCGAGAGTAGTTGCAGGTTCTCCGATTGGTGTATCTGCTGCTGTGCCGGTGGGTCCTGTACGGGTCGCCCCTTGTTGTCATAAGTATGCGTTACGCTTTCAACCTGCTCCTCATATGCTGGCTGCTGTGTTTGCTGCACGAAGTCTGAAGGTTGTTGTCCTTGGTGGTTGTAATCGACATAGTTCACGCCCTGGTTTTGCTGGCCGTATTGAGATTGCGTCTGTGGCACTGGCGGAGGTTGGTGATTTGGAGGGAGCGGTTGCTGGGGCAAGACCTGACGAGCCTGGTTCCTTTGATTTCCTCTAGAATGTTGCTGGGCGTACATGTCTTCCATGGAGAGCGGAGGCTCTGGTAATCCCGTGATATGGCCATTTGGAAGCATCTGCGGCGGAGGAGGGTGTTGCGGAGGTGTCAGCAAGTACTGAATCTCCTTCATGCAGTTCTTAAGGTACTTGGAGGTATTGTCCAAATACTGCTCGCGCTCCTTTTCGCTCGCCTCCTCGATCTCAAGGAATGAATTGTGAGGCGCGTAAGTTGCTAGGTGCGCTGTCAGTCCGCTATCCCATGCCGAATCATCATGCTCACCCGAATACGCACGCTTGCCGCCCTTGTCTCCAGTCTTGGCATCTTCTGTCTTGATCTGTATGCCTGTTTCTGCCTCACCAGCCTCATTCGTGGCCGCAGTCCCGTTGACGCCCTTTTTCTTGCGCTCATTCTTAAGAGCGTTCTCCAGCATTCGCACCTGCCGCTCCAGCTGTTCGTTTATGCGCTTGGCCTGTCTCACCTCGCCCTCCTGCTTCGCGATCTTGGCTCGCATCTCTGCTCGTTCTATGTCCCAGGCATTGCGCGCTCGCTCGTGGTTATGCCATTCGATCTGCAGGAAGCGCATGACACCTGGCAGCATTGTTAGCATGGCTGACCGCACCGCGCTGGCTCCTTTCTATGCCCCGAGCGCAGGGCATGGGCGACTCCAGCTCCCGTATCACTCACCCTGAAGGGTATATTCTGTGCCATGGTGCTCCAGTGCTGGCCCTCCATTGCCCAGGCCGGCCTGCATGATCACGGTGATGCTCGCAAGATGTTTCCTGAGGCCTGCATTGAGACAAGCCGCGGCCGGCGGTGATGGTCGTGTATGCGGAAGACGGCGGCCGCGAAGAGCGCAAGGTGGAAGGGGAAGGGGCTTGGCGATGCTTGACGGCTTGTATGCTGCAGTATGAATGTGTGGTCTCTGTCGCGTGTGGCGTGCTCTCTCCACGACTCCGACTCGGGACCTGAGCTCTTTCCTGATTCGACAGCTGAGCTCAGGATGTGACCCGAGCTTTCCTACAGCCGCGCCGCGCTCGAAACATGTTTCCTACTTTCTTCTCATCATCAACAATACAATAACAGCCTCGACATCAGCGGAGACAAGAAGTTGAGATGAGTCCAGAAAAAAAATACTTGTGTCCTTCCACAGACGGGACGACTCCCATCTCAGCCGTGGCTATTTCACGAAAAACGATGATCGGACCTGGCCCCGTTACGGAGTGCGCCAAGAACGATCCTTTCAATCACGTGTGCTCTTACGTGTGCAAGGAGGATGTCGTGTTTCCAGCCTTTCTTGCGTTCGTCAAGGAAAACGGAAAATTGTACTCGCCGAGAGCTGGAACTACCAAGAAGCAAGAATCACGAAATCCTCCTTGCATCCATCAATGGTATAATCACAGACCGGCCAAGTTGTCCCCAATGCTGCACGACATGCACGAACAAATCCCACCATGCATACTATACGATGATATCTGGATTGACGACTGATCCTCTTGGGGACCTAGTAACCTCTATCTCAGCGAACACCTGGTATACAGATCCTTCCCTCATCTTTACCATCTTCCAACATCGACAAATTCGTCTCTCATCTTCAATACCACATCTGTACCTACATGTAAATCACCACTCCCACGTCCCTCGATATATACCTAACTGAAACCTCTCCCACAAAATCCAACGGCTCTCCCAAAGTCCACCTCCATTCTTCCCCGTCAAGCTTCCAGCCTTTCCAACCATTCCATTCATCACCAAAACTCCTTCACATCCAAAGACAAGACTTATACCCTCTCTTACGCCCCCTCTTACTATTAATATCTCTCGTCTAAGCCCAAACATCCTATAAACGCAACCGTATACACACTACTCGACCGTCTACCTACCTCCTTCCCTCCTCCTTTAAAAAATCCTCTATATAATAATAGAAAAAAAATTCGAAAAAGCTACCTAGCGAAGATAATCGAGTTCGTTCACTAATATATATAATAGGAAGACGAAAAAAACAAACAAAAAAAGTTCTAAAATTTTTCATTTAAATCCTCGAGCTTGCCGAGCACTGTCTTTAATTCCTCTTTTTTTTCCTTCTCAACTTTTTGTAGGAGGACTGGTTAGTGAGATGCGCGAGGTGAAGACTACTAGAACACAGTTTCTTTTTTTTTCTTAGGGAGTTGGTTCTACCTTACGATAATGCCAGACGGGATCAGTTCCAAGCCCCCCCAACTGCTATCCCAACAAGCCTCATCAGTGATCCAATGTTTCCTAGCACACCTTCCTCAGAAACAGTGACCGTGACGAACGACATCAGGGCTTGAATTTTGTTCCTGCCATGCCATGCCATGCCAAGACTAGGAACAGGAACAGGAACAAATGTTTCGGAATGTTAGTAGTCATGAAACGGTGCCTGGTGGACGATCACGTTCCTTCCTGCACTTTCGGGAGACTACTGGAGGCATGAGTCGGAGAATGCTAGACACGGTAGGCTAGGTTAGGGTCAGGTGAATCGAGGCTGGGGCGCCAATTAAGACCTTTGAATTGTCGAAAAAGAAAAAGAAATTCGGCGTGCTAGATCGATCGATCAGGCCTGACGGGACCAACTATAGAGAGAGAGGTTGGGAGAATCCTCGAGTGAGTGCGCGCTGATTCAGCTTCAGCGTTTCAGAGGCGAGGGCGCGCGCTCGGGCTTCCATATATCACGATGTGAGGGCTTGGGGAGATTGGGTTTATCAGCGTCACTGTGATTGTTGGGCGACGCAGTACAGGATTATTAAGATGTTCGGGGAGTCCGACGACAGATGATAAGGAATTGCGAGAGGCGTCGGAGTGAGTGTTCAGGGGCAGAATGAATGACTGCGTGAAATGCTTTTGCAGCTCATCATCAGAAGCGATTGGCATTCGAGGGCAAATTGCTCTTCTCCGACCTCCCATCGAGCGGCAAATATAATGTCCTTTCACAGATGCGTCGCCGTACAGTAGGTGCATGCTGTCGGCGTTCATTCATGTCAAATGCAACACCACAATCTCCGACAGTCCATTTATGCAGACGCAGCTTCGCAACGTGGGCATGCTGGGACAACATATTCCCATGAAAAGCAATGCTCGCTCCAATCCAGCACAGCGGTATCCAGTGAAGAGGCAGCGGTGTAGGTTGTACAACCTTCTTGCGGATTGAATGGACACCGCTCTCGACCAATCAATGCGGTGGCGGTCATCGTTCAGCTACTCTTTGGGAGTGTTGCCATGTCGAGGAGAAGCTCGGGAGCAGCCAGCTCTGCGAGTCTTATTTTGAAACTGCGATACCCCGGCTTGACATTCAAATGTGAGGTCAGGTGTCTAGGATCAAGCAGATTCATTTTGGGCGAACGTTGCGATGAATCGTGGTGGCATATGGAAGCAGGAAATGGCGCAATGGTGTTAAAAGCGCACGCGGCCACTGATGAAAGTGGTCTCGCCCTTTCCGTCGTCTTGATATCAGGTCTCGAATCGTGGACCAGTAATATCCCTGGACAAGGATCGGTGATGCCCTGATCTTGTTTATGTACTGGGTATCACAAGCAATGTTGGAGTTTTGTCGGTAGAAGTGGGCGCCGTCAAGACGCATCTCAGATGAAGTCCGCATTGAGTTCTGATGACCGAACTGGTGCCAGCCATCTTCTGTGCTTCTCAGTCGAGCAAGCGTGTTTCCAGGCTTTCAGGTAATAATGGCCACATCATGTCTGGGATGACAGTGGTGTGCCATTTGGAAGAAAAGCTGCATGGGCCAACTTTTCGAGTTGGAAGAATTACAGGCCTAGCAAGCCATGCTGAACGCTAACTGGGCTCATGCGAGTGTTGAGAGTGGATCCGAGTCGTGGTAGCGTGGACAGGATGTGCTGTCGCCAAGGTTGCGTGAGGATGGGCAATGGCAATATACTTTCATCAATGTGAGACGAAGCGCTTGGAGAAGCTTGCGCGTGGTGTTCCCGCTGGAACGGGTTGCCTCTTCCCAGCCGGTGATTCTGTGGGCCATATCTTTGATTGCATTGTGGTGGGTGTTCTGGAAGGCAGGCATGCAAGTGGAGTGCATGTCTTTGCGGCGTTTGCGCTGACTGCACGATTCGTTGCCACGCTTGCTCGTGATTCAGTTGTCGGAGAGAGTCGGAGTCTGCCTTGGGATGAACGCCATAGCAACAGAGTCACGCGCCGCTATCCTTCGACCAGAGGAAGGTGGTCGGCGTGCTGTGGTGTTGAAAGCAAGCTCACAGAGAGCTGCTCAGCGAGGCGCAGCAGTAGTGAGGTGTGCAGAGTGCAGTGCCAGTTTCAGGTATTCTCCGAAAGTCACTTGATCAAACAGGTGCCGCAGCTGTTTCACGGTAGCACAGACATCGAAGTGGAAAGAACATCTACTGGATTGGGACAAAGCTGCGTTGATCGGGTAGCGGCGCGCAGGGCAGTCCATCAATTGCGGAAAGTGTTATGAGTAGCGGTCATAGTGAATAGCCGATTCGATTTTCCACGCGCCTGACTCGCATTCTCCCCGGCTGTAGCAGTGAATGTCAGTGGAACTGGTAGGCAGGCGTAGAGATGTAGAATCACGGTGCGTTTAATTTCCGGGCTTATGAACACCGTGTACACCTTATGAACATACACGAGATACAGATTAATTAGCAGGTAGATCCGGTTATTATAGCGTATCCTATATAAAATAAAACAATAAAGGAAATAAGAATATAGAGCGTAAATAGTGACAATCTTAGTATACAAACAGCCCTGCTAGCTACTAGTTGTTCTACTAGCTGTTCTACTAACTATTGCTATCGGTAGTAAGGTCGATAACGTTGCTATCGTCGTCTATATTGTCTATATTGCCGCCGCTATTACGAGTGTATTCGAAGTCGCCTTATAGCTTAAATACTTCCTTTAGAATATCCTATAGATCTACGTAACTATCGTCTATAAGCTTACTATCGTCTAGGTTATACTTAATGCGTAGATTCTAGTAGATAAAGACTAACTTCTCGAGCACTTCGTAGCTTAATCTATTACGCTTAAGGCTTTAAATAAAGCTAAAGGCAGACTAGTTGCGCTTAGTAGTACCGGTTATTAGACAAAGAGACAAGGCTAGTATATAGAGGTTAGTAAGCTTAGGGTACGAGTCTCGGAAGTTATTAGCCTACTATAGCAACGGTGTCCGGCTCTTTCTAGCTGCCTATACAACGGGGTTACTAAATAGACCTTGTCGGCTTCTAAGTATAAAGATATCGTTTAGAAGTTGTCTAGCGCGTATATTAATCTCATCTCTTAACTCGTTATAGTCTAGATAGGTAGCGGATATACGTTGCTACTTAGTATAGTACTCGATAAGGAAGGGGGTAAGGGATTTAACTTCGTCGTTATTAATTAGTATAAACTGCTTCTCGGGGTCGGAGCGCTCGGAAACATTAGCTAGATAGGCAATTAGCATAATAGGCTAATAACTAATAGCGTTGTCAGTCCGCTAGAGGGTTCTATAGTTGAAGAACTTATAGTGCCTCCTACCGCCTTTCTATATATATCTCTATCTCCTTGTTTAAGACGAGATTTAGAGCCTTGTCGATTATAGCATTTATAAGCTAGCGCTAGTTGCTATATACGTATAATAGCTTTGGTCTATCTAACTCTAAGGCAATAGTAACCTTTAGGAATAGCTCTATTAAGTCGCAATAGCTAAGGGAAGTTAGTTAGTACGCAAAACTCGGCTTTAGCACTTACCCTCGTAGATTACGCTAGAACGAGCCTTCTTCGAAGATATTATATATCTCTAGCTAACTCTGCCGCTACGCATTAGTCGATCTATAGAAGAGGCGTTGTTTATAGTTAGCTCGGAGGTCTTCAATCTAGTATTTATTAATAAGCACGCTTCGAGCGTAGTATAGGTCGGCTTGCTAGCGGACACCTCTAGGGACCTAGAAATGCCGTACTTTGCCTTTTAATATGTCTAGCAGTATCTTAAAAGGCAGCTGTATATACTTGAAGTATTCTACGATAGATTTAGCGTCGTTAGTAATCGTTCTAAGCCTTGTAATGCTAGTTGTTACTAAATAAAGGTCCCTAACTAGAAGCTAAGTAAAATAGGAGGCATATCCTAATCGGATTAGCGTCGGATACTACCGTACGCACTAAGTCTTATTAGCGCTTATCTATTAGTTAGTCGGGGCTTGCCGGAGGGACTATTTCTAACCTCCAATCTTTGAAACATACCTCTTCCGTAGCCGCCTTTATTACTAATATATTATTAGCAACTATACCGACTACCTTGCCTACCGGAAACTAGTCGATAATCTCGAGAAGGCCTTTAGTATAATAAGAGGTATTACTCCTTGTCGCGCTAGTAAGCTCGGACTTTATAAACTACGCCGCTCGAGGCGTAACTACGAGATAATTAACGACTAAACGATGCGCTCGATCCGACTACCTATCCGATACGATATAGAGCCGCGCACTTCTATTAACCTCTACTATTATCTCGCGATGTAGCCGCGTATAGAGGCGAGGCAGGTACACGTATCTAAGCTAATAGCGAGTTAGTAGTTTAAAGGCCGGTCTTATCCTCTTTATCTATCTTATAAAGGCTAGATGCTCTATCGTACTTAATAGACTACTAGAGGCAAACACCTACTTAGTAACTAACTCGTAGAGGGTATCGTACTCGTTAGGAGTTATCTCGTCGACAAAGCCTAACCTTAGTAGTAGCACCTCCTTGCGGGTAGGACGAGGGATTTCCTTAACATTATTATTACCTATAAGCGCTAGAATAGGTTCTAGCGCCTCGGTTTCTACTACTTCTAGTAATAGATAAGGTTGATAAGTCTTCTATAGCGACTCTAGTAAGAACTAATACTTTAATAGGTGTTTAATAACTCTCGAGCGCTTATTCGACGTCTAAGACTTACTACAATAGTTATACTTAGCAATAGTATAGAATTTGCTATTCGAGCGGTCTCTTATTACCTTACGCTAGCAAGGGTCTTCTATACGCTTCCGCTTACTAAATATATAACGAGTTAGAGTAGTTGTTAGTAGACTACTAAGGGCAGTAAGCAGCGATTGCTAGCTCGAGGCGTTATCGGATATAGTAAAAACGATAGAGTATTTAGTAGTAGATTAAAGCTAAAGGGATTAATAAAAGAGGAGGAAACTAATAGTCTATCTATACGTATTCTACTACAAAATTGCCTATATTATATGCCTTCTAGTACGGTCTTATTTGTCCGCAATCGCTATAGTCTTACCGCCGAGTTCTCGTCGGTATTCGTAATTTCCCTATAGTAGATTAGGTCTATATCTAATAGGCTCTATTGCCTTTCTATAACTATTACTTTTATATATAGTATTGCTTACAAACGCTATTATAATACGAAAAGTCGCGAGCAGGCGCGTTAGCAATATAGTATAGATAAGGGTATAAAGAAATCTCTATAGCGCTAGTGTATCGACTAAGGGTACTAGCTAGCTACTAAGCACTAAAGCGACCAAACTAGCTATTCTAAGCTATTATAACTACATTCGGTTATTCACATTTATGTTTATAAGACCGGCGCTAATATAGGTCGTATACACCGTAATATCACCGTGTACACGAACCTTGTGATGTTGTGTCTAACATCGCTAGGCAGGCGGCTTTGGGAGTGGCAAAGCATTGCTGGTTGGCGGAGCGAAAGCCGATGGCGCTCGATCGTGTTCAGCATCGCATGCAGGAAGTCGCAACAGGAACAAATTTATCAGTGCCTGACTAGCTAGATTCTGGCAAGACGTCACCTGGCAGCAGGCATGGGGAGGCGACGGCTTCCAGCACCCGTGATGAACACTGGCGCTGCCGGGAGGCTGAGGTGAGATGTGATTTCATGCGTGTCGACCAGATCGACACTGAAGATTGCTGTTGCGTGCGGACAGCCGTTACGTTGGCTTAGGATGTCGCTGCCGCGTGGAGTGAGTAGTAGACGGCTTCTTCGCTGCGTCTAGACGGCAAAGGTGAAACGTTCGCCTAGCGGTACCTTACATGTGCCTCAGGCCTACGGTAGGATCGACGCTCCTGCAAGCAGAGAGACCTGTCACCGTCACCGTCACCCACGAGCGCCGTGGCCGTGTTGCTTCTCGGCGTCGGCTGCGCTGCGCTGCGCTGCGCTGCGTCGACTCGCAGGCGCAGCAACACAGAGCCTAGAGGATCGACGTGCAGAGCGACGATATCAGGACGAAGCTTGTACTGTATTCTACAGGCATCCCTTGCCGCGGCACTCTTCCGGATCCGCGCACCCGGCCTGCCTCACAAAATTATCGGCCTGGCCTAACGACTCTCGGACTCTGAGATGAGGTGCTTGCATGCATGCGAGTTGATACGGAACAGCACTTCACAGCACGGCACAGCACGGCACAGCACGGCACAGCACGGCTCTTAGAGATGTAGAATCACGGTGCGTTTAATTTCCGGGCTTATGAACACCGTATACACCTTATGAATATATACGAGACACAGATTAATTAGCAGGTGGATCCGGTTATTATAGCGTATCCTATATAAAATGAAACAATAAAGGAAATAAGAATATAGAGCGTAAATAGTAACAATCTTAGTATACAAACAGCCCTACTAGCTACTAGTTGTTCTACTAGCTATTCTACTAACTATTACTGTCGGCAGTAAGGTCGACAACGTTGCTATCGTCGTCTATATTATCTATATTGCCGCCGCTATTACGAGTGTATTCGAAGTCGCCTTATAGCTTAAATACTTCCTTTAGAATGTCCTATAGATCTACGTAACTATCGTCTATAAGCTTGCTGTCGTCTAGGTTATACTTAATGCGTAGATTCTAGTAGATAAAGACTAACTTCTCGAGCACTTCGTAGCTTAATCTATTGCGCTTAAGGCTTTAAATAAAGCTAAAGGCAGACTAGTTGCGCTTAGCAGTACCGGTTGTTAGACAAAGAGACAAGGCTAGTATATAGAGGTTAGTAAGCTTAGGGTACGAGTCTCGGAAGTTATTAGCCTACTATAGTAACGGTATCCGGCTCTTTCTAGCTGCCTATATAACGGGGTTACTAAATAGACCTTGTCGGCTTCTAAGCATAAAGATATCGTTTAGAAGTTGTCTAGCGCGTATATTAATCTCATCTCTTAACTCGTTATAGTCTAGACAGGTAGCGGATATGCGTTGCTGCTTAGTATAGTACTCGATAAGGAAGGGGGTAAGGGATTTAACTTCGTCGTTATCAATTAGTATAAACTGCTTCTCGGGGTCGGAGCGCTCGGAAACATCAGCTAGATAGGCAATTAGCATAATAGGCTAATAACTAATAGCGTTATTAGTCCGCTAGAGGGTTCTATAGTTAAAGAACTTATAGTGCCTCCTACCGCCTTTTTATATATATCTCTATCTCCTTGTTTAAGACGAGATTTAGAGCCTTATCGATTATAGTATTTATAAGCCAGCGCTAGTTGCTATATACGTGTAATAGCTTTAGTCTGTCTAACTCTAAGGCAATAGTGACCTTTAGGAATAGCTCTATTAAGTCGCAATAGCTAAGGGAAGTTAGTTAGTACGTAAAACTCGGCTTTAGCACTTACCCTCGTAGATTACGCTAGAACGAGCCTTCTTCGAAGATATTATATATCTCTAGCTAACTCTGCCGCTACGCATTAGTCGATCTATAGAAGAGGCGTTATTTATAGTTAGCTCGGAGGTCTTCAATCTAGTATTTATTAATAAGCACGCTTCGAGCGTAGTATAGGTCGGCTTACTAGCGGACACCTCTAGGGACCTAGAAATGCCGTACTTTGCCTTTTAATATATCTAGCAGTATCTTAAAAGGCAGCTGTATATACTTGAAGTATTCTACGATAGATTTAGCGTCGTTAGTAATCGTTCTAAGCCTTATAATGCTAGTTGTTACTAAATGAAGGTCCCTAACTAGAAGCTAAGTAAAATAGGAGGCACATCCTAATCGGATTAGCGTCGGATGCTGCCGTACGCACTAAGTCTTATTAGCGCTTATCTATTGGTTAGTCGGGGCTTGCCGGAGGGACTATTTCTAACCTCTAATCTTCGAAACATACCTCTTCCGTAGCCGCCTTTATTACTAATACATTATTAGTAACTATACCGACTACCTTGCCTACCGGAAACTGGTCGATAATCTCGAGAAGGCCTTTAGTATAATAAGAGGCATTACTCCTTGTCGCGCTAGTAAGCTCGGACTTTATAAACTACGCCGCTCGAGGCGTAACTACGAGATAATTAACGACTAAACGATACGCTCGATCCGACTACCTATCCGATACGATATAGAGCCGCGTACTTCTATTAACCTCTACTATTATCTCGCGATATAGCCGCGTATAGAGGCGAGGTAGGTATACGTATCTAAGCTAATAGCGAGTTAGTAGTTTAAAGGCCGGTCTTATCCTCTTTATCTATCTTATAAAGGCTAGATACTCTATCGTACTTAATAGACTGCTAGAGGCAAATACCTACTTAGTAACTAACTTGTAGAGGGCATCGTGCTCGTTAGGAGTTATCTCGTCGATAAAGCCTAACCTTAGTAGTAGCACCTCCTTATAGGTAGGACGAGGGATTTCCTCAATATTATTATTACCTATAAGCGCTAGAACAGGTTCTAGCGCCTCGGTTTCTACTACTTCTAGCAATAGATAAGGTTAATAAGTCTTCTATAGCGACTCTAGCAAGAACTAATACTTTAACAGGTGTTTAATAACTCTCGAGCGCTTATTCGACGTCTAAGACTTACTATAATAGTTACACTTAGTAATAGTATAGAATTTGCTATTCGAGCGGTCTCTTATTACCTTACGCTAGTAAGGGTCTTCTATACGCTTCCGCTTGCTAAATATATAACGAGTTAGAGTAGTTGTTAGTAGACTACTAAGGGTAGCAAGCAGCGATTGCTAGCTCGAGGCGTTATCGGATATAGTAAAAACGATAGAGTATTTAGTAGTAGATTAAAGCTAAAGGGATTAATAAAAGAGGAGGAAACTAATAGTCTATCTATACGTATTCTACTGCAAAATTGCCTATATTATATGCCTTCTAGTACGGTCTCATTTGTCCGCAATCGCTATAGTCTTACCGCCGAGTTCTCGTCGGTATTCGTAATTTCCCTATAGTAGATTAGGTCTATATCTAATAGGCTCTATTGCCTTTCTATAACTATTACTTTTATATATAGTATTGCTTATAAACGCTATTATAATACGAAAAGTCGCGAGCAGGCGCGTTAGTAATATAGTATAGATAAGGGTATAAAGAAATCTCTGCAGCGCTAGTATATCGACTAAGGGCACTAGCTAGCTACTAAGCACTAAAGCGACTAAACTAGCTATTCTAAGCTATTATAACTACATTCGGTTATTTATATTTATGTTCATAAGACCGGCGCCAATATAGGTCGTATATACCGTAATATCACCGTATACACGAACCTTGTGATGTTGTGTCTAACATCGCTAACGGCTCTTCACACGGCGGCTCTCCGTAGAAAGGCAAGATTGCGGTGGAGACGGGCTGTCGGACTGCAGCAGGCGGAGGCATGGTGATTGATTACGAGCGCATCGCCGTCCCGTTGGCTGCCTGCCGCTGGGCCGTCACTTTCCAACTGAGCGCGCGCCTGCGTACAGCGAGTAAGGGCCAGTACTCAGTAAGGTGAGCGCAGCGCGGGAAGAGGCGGCAGGGATGCTGTTCACCCCCTAGGCCAAAGCGGGAGGTAGCGTCTTATCATCTGAAACGCCTGCGCTTGAAACCGTTGCACCTGCTCGCACCGCACCTCTCGCACCTCGCACCTCTGCTGCTGCTGGAAGCTTTATGCTATCGCATTCGGCAGCCGCCTCATCACGCTTCTGCCTTCGCAGTCTATTCACTTCACTCCGCTCCAGCACCACCACCTATTTGCCCTATTTGCCCTATTTGCCCTCGTTGCCCTCTTTCCCCCCAGAGGCCGGTCCTCTCCCCATCTCCGACGACTAGAGCAGCCGCTCGTCTTCTACATTCGTTCTGTTCCTGCAGCCCGGCTTCGCACGTCTGCCCCAATTCCCCGCGCGCGCATACAATACCTTCTTGATACACGCACGGCCTGGCTGCCGCTGCACCTCTGTCCGAAGCCGCGCACATCACCCACCCTCTGCTATACCTGCGTTTGAAGTAGACGCACGTCTGCTGCTCTGCTCCGTCGCGCCCTCCCAACCCACCGCATCCTGCGACGTCCGCTGCCGCGCCTCGTCCTCCATCATCGCCATGTATCCCAACCACCACCCCGCCATGCCTCCGCCTCACGCGCGATCCGTCGCTCCAGAGACCTTCCTCCTGGACCAGGAGCAGCAGTCGAGCCTTCCGCAAGACTCGGTCGTCGCGCTGCAGCAGGTTGACAATCGTATGTAGACACCATGCGCGCCTAATCGTGGCACGCAGCCGACCATTGGCTGACCGGAGCATAGTCAAGTACTTCCTCATCTCTGCGCCCGTGGACTGGAGTCAGGACCAGTATATTCGACGATTTCTGCTGCCAACCGGCGAATATGTATCCTGTGTATTATGGTGCGTCTGCAATGCGCCGAGCTGCGCTGCGCTGCGCCGCGCGTTTGCTGCCCGCCGAAACATGCGCTGACTGCAGCAGGAACAATCTCTTCCACATCTCGGGCACAGATATTGTGCGATGCTTGTCGTTCCGATTTCAGGCATTTGGCCGACCCGTGAAGAATACCAAAAAATTCGAGGAGGGCATCTTCTCCGATCTACGAAATCTCAAGTCGGGCACCGATGCCTCGCTGGAAGAGCCCAAGAGCCCGTTCTTGGACTTCCTCTACAAAAACAACTGCATCCGAACGCAGAAGAAGCAGAAGGTCTTCTACTGGTATAGTGTACCACACGACCGACTCTTCTTGGATGCGCTCGAACGCGATCTCAAGCGTGAGAAAATGGGCCAGGAAGCAACGACCGTTGCGGTCAGCGAGCCGGCCCTCTCCTTTGAATTCGACTCTTCTCAATCGCTTTTCGAGCAGCTCACCAAGGCTCAGCAAAACAATCAGTCCAGCTTTGCCCAGCCGCCTTCAATGCCTCCATCGCACTCCACATCACCTGTTCTGCGCGCCACCGACTCAATGCCACCGCCGTCAATCATCCCACAACAGCAGATGCCGCCAACTTCCATGCCACAGCACACGTCTCAGCCCAGTATGCAACCAGACATGCACCAACTTCCAGAGTCAATGACACACGTACCAACCTTCAATCAGATGGCCATGCCGCCAATGCCTTCTCAGATCCAGAAGACGCGCGAACAATCACTCGGGCCAGTGTTTGACCGTAGCGGTGTTCCCATCTCGCAAGTCGGCAACAGGCACAGCTCCATGCCAGCCTATATGGAGTACTCACCTGCGCCTTCATTTGTTTCTTCGCATTTTGAGGACTACAGCCAGCGCGGCATTTCCTTCGAACCTCTGACGCCACCTCAGCACACCGTCGGCATGCCCTCCGAGCCCACTTACATCGCCAATGAGGATACTGGTCTCTATGCAGCCATTCCTGATGTCGGTCTACAGCAACCCTTCAACCCGCTCATGTCTGTGCCGCCAAATCTTGCTGGCACCAGCTACCCATCGATGAACCGCAATTATCACCAGCCACAGCAGGTCTACTCAGTGCTTGAAGGCTCGCCGACCTACAAGCAGAGACGTCGACGCTCTTCTTTGACAGGCACAGCTGTCACAACGGCAGTGACATCAGCGGGCGGCGGCGGTGTCGCGACTCATGCGCATGCCGTTCACCGGCCAAGCGATTTACGCCGCTCCATGTCTACGTCGGTTGCCCCACAATCCATCCCAGAAGGGCAAGAAGTGTCGTACAATGACTCGCCTTCCAGCATGCATGCAACGCACAATGGACCTCTGATGGGCGACCACAAAGAACTGCTCGACTTGTCTCGACAAAGCACGCCGTCCCATGTCGTTGAAGGTGCCATCGATGAGAGCAGAGCCCACCAACATCCGATGCACATGGGTCACGCGCCTACGGGCGACTACAACAACTACAATGCGAGCCCGAACCAGGACTATTCCCATGGCCTTCAACATCATGCAGTACATCGCACCGCTAATGGCGTCTTCCGCCGCGCTCGGTCCGCCACTGTCAGCGAACTAGGTCCCTATCCTCAGAAGAGCCACTCCTGCCCGATTCCCATGTGCGGCCGACTGTTCAAGAGATTAGAGCACCTCAAGCGCCATGTCCGAACGCACACCCAGGAACGCCCATACTTGTGCACGCTTTGCAACAAAGCCTTCTCAAGATCCGATAACCTTGCTCAGCATCGTCGGACTCACGAGACCAGCGCCGACGGCTCCGCACCATCCGAAGAGGAAATGGAAGAAGCGCAAGACGCCATGGTCGAGGAGCAGGAACCCGGCGCTGACCCTATTGACGACGCGTCTTACCAGGTTATCGCAATGACGACCGGGTCGGATATGCCTTCTATGCCGACTCACGTCCCAATGGGCATGGTCTCACACACCGACATGGGTCCACCGCAAATGGTTACGGCCGGAGATTATCATTGAAACGATTACACCATCACCCCAACGACAAAAAGTTCATTCTGATTCACTTCAACAGCATCGTTAGCTGCATTGCATGGCACCCGTTTTTTATTCTGGTTTTCGTTTCGACAGCTCTCACGTTGTGTGTGTGTGTGTGTGTGTGTGTGTGTGTGTGGGGCAGGCTTTGCGCCGCAGAGGAGCGCGGTCACGACTGTACGATGATGCAAGTCTTTTATTTCCATTTCACTTTTACAATACGTCTCTGGCACGATGGCGGAACGGTCGAGTTTGACTTTTTTTTTCAAACATGCGAATGTGGATACACTACCAAGGCGGTGACAGGACGGGAGCTTGCCGATTGCGAGGTTCAGAAGAAAGCCTGTTTCCTTCGTCACAGCATGGCGAAGCAGGGGTTGTGGAAGGGAGTTTCTTCCCTTGCCAGGAGAAGCTACTATTCTTGGGGATGGGATGGGGTGGGGGTGTAAGGAAAGAAAGGGATGGGAATCATGGGATCTTATGTTGTTGTTGGTGTTGTTGTTGAAGAATAGGAGAGGAAGTGAGATGGGATTTTTTTGTTTTCTTGAAGAAGAAGAAGAAGAAGATAAATTCCTATTTTTCTTTTCTGCTGTTAACGGCAAAATTTACGGTGAGGTCTGTCTTGATCCTCCTTTTTTTTTTCCCCTATTTCATGGTAGCTTTTATATATAGAACTCGCGAGTCGCAATGCGAGATGCGATCGCAGATGCATTTTCCGGTTAAAATTTTTATCTTGGCTGTAGCCTGTAGAATATTGTTCGGTCGACGTCCCTACTATCCGCTTCCCGCGAAATTACTAACGCCGAAGCCGAAGACTACGTACTTGCCGATCGAGGGATAGGAAGTAGGGGTGTCGTTAGTAACACTTTGTTAGTAGATAGCAACGTTATTATCATACTAACAGTTAGTAACTGTTAATAGTTAGTATCCTTGCCTTAGGCTCTAGTATAGACCTTATATTATTATAGCTAGAAGTAATTAAATACCTCGAATGCTGCTATAGTGTGTCTCCTACCTATTCGGATACCTATCCCTCTATAGATCTACCTCTTACGACTAGACTAAGCTCGAATACGTATAGTTTAGCGTAGAAGGCGCTTCTATAGATCGTCCGAGAGGTCGTTACTAGGGATACTATATCGCTTAGAGTAACCTAGCAACTATAGGGTTATATTCGAAGGTATTCGTACTAATATTGTCTAATTAGCCTAAAAACTAAATAGTTCGATAGCTACTATCGAGAGAGTATTGTTTGCGTTTTTACTACCTATTTAGCCTATTAGATCCTCTATTTCGAGCATTTCTAGTATTTCTACGAATCCTAAAATTCCGACTTTTATAAGATGCCTCCTTTAAAGCACCCGGATAATCTTAACTTTAGCGCTATTAAGACCGAGTTTATAGGCAAGTTTATACGCTATATCTAGTACGAGAGTAGTAAAGGAACGATACCGGAAGGTAGCTTATCGCGTAAGTAGAAGTACCTAAAGAAGTGTTAGAAGTATCTTAACTATAAGAGGGTTTATTAGTCTAGCGATAATAAAGACTTACCGCGGAAGTAGTAGAAGTTGCTATTTAGTCGCGCTTAGTATAAGAAGGTACGTAATCTAGCTATCTCGAAGGCGCTATTATATAGCGGAAGGCCGTTTAATAAGGTAGACTCGAGATATTACCCCGAGTAGCGCGACGCTTTCTACACATTCGATACTAACTATAACCCGCTAAATCGCGAGAAGGTAGTTAAGTATATTAGCTAGGTACGCGAAGAGCTCGAGAAGGATATAAAGGCGGTATTTAATATACTTCGAGACCTTAACTTTAGTACTAACGAGAGCGAGAGTCGCGGTAGCACTCGCTTCTATAATCTATTAGCGAATATAGTGTCTAGATCGTTCTTCTATAACCTACTCGATATAAAGGACTCTAACGCTAATGCTGTAACCCTCGCGCGGTCGGTAACTAGGTAGGTAATGCCCTTCGTTAATAGCGACCTAAAGCGCTAGAATTCCCTCTAGACCGATACCTACGCGACTATAAGAGCGCTCTACGATAGACTCGCCGAGAATCTACTTACTAAGCACGTAATCTATGTATTCTACGACTCGTAGTCTCGTACGGTATCTAGTTGTATATTAGCGATTAGGGTAATACCTCGAAGGACTCGCACCTACCGTTCTATAGCGATACGCTTCGCGCCGCCGGATACGTACTTGCTATATTTAAGAGATTAAAGAAGAGCTAGAATATTCTAAAGGTATTTGCTAAGGATAATAATACTATACTAAGGGCATTTGCTATCGCCTATCTTACTCGCTAGGGTTTATACTATACTATAATATATAGCCTGTTCGTAGCAATAAGTTGCCTTTAAGACTACGCGAGGATAATGTCTTATCGGCTATTCCGAGGCTCGAATAGTAGGCTCGTAAAGGGTGCCTCTACTACTATTAATACTATCAATTCGCCTCTATTCTAGAAGCGCCTATAAAGCCTTTATACGCTCCTTTAGCTCGTCGATAAGGCACGCTTAATTAGTAAGAGCGATACCTTACGAGTTAGCGATATTGTACCTCGATAGTAGCAACTACGGCGCTTAATTAAATAGGCGCGATTGCCTTACGAGACTAACCTACTATCGCTCTTTAACCTCCGCTTTAGTAAGCAGACTCAACCTATTTGCTAGGTAGTACACTCGCTAGACATTAAGAACCTAGCAGTTTTACGAGGCTATAGCGACCGCGAAGAAGAATGCCGTATTACCTTCTTTAAGCGCTATTTTGTATACGAAGAAAGCGACCCTTCTATATACGATCGCTATCTCTAGTTTAGCGACGAATTTGTCGAATTCCGAGAGTTAACGTAACGCTTCTTTACTATTAGCAATAACGAGCTTAGTCGCTACCGTAAGCGCGGTAATATTACTACTTATTAGGACTATATTCTTCGTAAAGCGCCTCTTATAGTAGAAGTTACGCTCCGCCTATATCGAATACCTACTAACTTAGTCTTTTCCGAGCGAGCGTTTAGCGCTATAAACTTTATCTAGAACGACTATCGCTCTAAGCTATCTGCCTCTCGTACTAACGACTGTACCTACATCTATATAAATAGCCGCGTATTACGTAGAAGACCTGCGGAAGAGGTAGTACGAAGGTAGTAATAAGCTAAGTTGCGAGAGATAAAACAGCGATAGTTAGCTACTAAGAAGGAGATCTGTAAGGCGGAATTAGATGCTTTATTAGCATTTAAGGAAGCTATAATAAACGACTACTATCTACTACTAAGCGACCCTCGCTATCTTTATATATCTAACCTCGAACAGATGTTTAATCTATACGGTATAGGCGTTAGTCTATAAGAAGAAGAGTACGAGGAAGAGCCTATTAATTATAAAGCGCTCTTCGAAGCGCTTCTAATACTAGTAATGTTAGGGCTAAAGAGGCTATACGTAATTAGCATATAACTAGGCTAAGTAAAGCTAGGGTCTTAGTGCCTTAGGTAGGGCTTAGCGCTTAGCAATAGGCTAACTTACCTACCTTCCTCCCTCTCCTCCTAGCTCCTTATCGAATACTACTCGTACCTACTACTACCCTATCTGCCTACTAATATACCCTTCTTATATAGTATTCGATCTACCCTTTAAGGGTAGTAGCTAGATAGTCCTTATTTCAAGCTTTTAGCGGTATAGCTACGAACAAGACTAATCTAACTATATTACGCCCGAAGAACGGGACCTATACGTACTATTCTATCGAAACAACCGTACTAATCATTAGGCAAGGCCTTCTATACGGCCTATTATACTAAGTTAATCGTACTAGACTAATATCTACTAATTCCGCTATATCCGCATCTTAGAGGCTAACAATATATTATTAGTATTACCCCCTATTACAATAGCCGGCTTATTACGAAACAATAACCGTACCGCCGCTAGTAGCGCTAGCAATAACAACGCTAGTAGCACAGTTCCCGCTAAAGTGCCTACTAAAGTGCCTCCTACTAAAGAGCCTACCGGAGAGCCTATTAAAGAAGAACCTGCAATTCTAGGTAATAATCTAGAATTACCTGTTAACGATATTCTTAATAACATTGTTAATCGACGATATAGCTAGCTAGCCTTTAGCCTTTAACTAGTAGGGAGACTTTAAGTGTAAGAAGGGTATATTAGTAGGTAGATAGGGTAGTAGTAGGTACGAGTAGTATTCGATAAGGAGCTAGGAGGAGAGGGAGGAAGGCAGGCAAGTTAGCCTATTACTAAGCGCTAAGCCCTGCCTAAGGCATTAAGACCCTAGCTTCACTCGAGCCCGGTCGCATACTAATTACATATAACCTCTTTAGTCCTAATATACGCTTCCCTTCTAAAGGCCGCGCCCTCGTAGCTAGTCTTTATTCTAGTCTCAACCTCTATTGCCGCTAACTTAGCAGGTCTAATAAGCCGCTTAGTCCGCGCTAAATTGAACGCACAACTACCGATTATATAACTATATCAAACCTTACCTCTAATATAGTATAATGTCTAACTCTAACTACGCTATCCCTGTATATAATAAACTATAAAGTGATATATATCTATAAGAATTGAGGGCCTTCGACTAATTACAATACGAGCGCGTCTTCCCTACTGTAATAGGTAGACGTACGAGGTATTGTAGCCCTGCCTCCGCTCTAAGTAATGTCGTACCGAGTTCTTTGCGTCTACTCTTAAAAGACCTAGCTATATCCGCTTCCGAGGGTTTGTTCTTATTATTACGAGGGCTATTATTGTTCGTGGTTTCGCTAGCCCTAATTAGCTAGGTTTAGTAGCCTTTAATTGTTAATCTTATCTTATCTTTTCCGAAAAAACACAGCTCGTCTAGTTTCTATAGGTAAAGGCTATTATAAGTGTAGTAGTAGAGGTTCGCCTCGCTTAAAGGGTTAGATAGATCGAGGAGTAATCTATTGTCCGCAAGATCGACCCCGGCTAGCTTAGCTCTATAGTTTTGCCCTTAGTTAGCTAGTCTATTAGTCGCTTAATCTTTTAAGTAGCTTAAAGTTTTGATTAAAGTTTTGATTAAAGTTTTAATTAAAGGTGCCTTAG